AACGCCTCGTGTAGCCAGTCTTACTCTATGACTACGAAACAAGCGAGTAGCGAGACGGTTTCTTCCGTTACACATAAGAATAGACAACAATTTTTATATTTTAAATGAGCAAAAAAAACGTGACCACAGGTCATCGAGCATACAGGTACAGCACTATGGGAAGCAAAAATAAGACTCTTAAATCTTGCATATTTCAAAGATTCGCACGAAGCGTTACGCTTATGGCGTACGGCTATAGAGCGCAATTCGCTGTCTGCAAACTTGTTCCCGTAACGCTATAAATTGGTTGTTTTCAAGTTGAGAGTGAATAAGCATACACAGTGTGCTGCTACCTAGTTGATTTCTTCGTCACCAGGTGAAATAAAAGTCCAGTGTACACTAATTGTCCTTAAGAATAAAATTGTGTCAAGAAGATATTCTGAACGAAAAGCTATTTCAAATCATAATAATTAAACGGAAATATTAAAATTTGAAAACTGTACGTTGGGTTACAGTTAGCAAACATAGCGCAAAAACATGATTATGTATGCACATTTCAGGTAATTCTAGTAATATACTCGTATATACAATATTCCAATTGCTCAGATGTTTCATATTTGCTCAAATTCAGGTTCAGGGTCAAGAGCACGTCAAGCTTGACACTTAAGATTTAAATCCAACTCTATGCCGCTTACGATAAGAACGGTCCAAAGTACAAAGTGTCAAGTTTGATGTGCTCTTGACTGTACTATGTAAAAAAATTTAAACAATGTGTTTTAAACATCTGGGACTACCTCTTTAGGAACAAATTCTCATGTCATCCTTATGATGAGGTATGTTTCCAATATACTTATATGTAATGTTTTAATAAATATGTTTTTCACTGCTAACTCTTCGCTCGCCGCTTACCCCAAAGCTCCGTTCAAAAATATGAAATCAATACGCACTCTTTGTGCTTGCTATCTTGCGGGAATGTCGTCATTTATTATTGTGGTTCCATAACTGTGTGGAGCTTATCCGAGTATTGGCGGATTTTGTAAAAACGTAAATCTGAACATTTCCACTTTCAAAATGCAAAAAGCTGAATTGATAAACGAAAGAAAGCTTAAAAATTTCATCATTTTCTACCATGGCCTTATATTGTAAATTAACCTTACTTCATTAACTTAAAACCGTATGAAACTTTTGGCTATGTAAATCAACACTGAAAGTACTTGAAAGTCTTTGAATATAGCTTAAATAAGTACTTATATATATGAACTTTGCATAAGCATTACATTATCTTGTACGTACTTAACAGTAGGTAAAAATATTACATAAAGTAATTCGATAGTGAAAGAGCTCAGTTGTTGAAAAGGAGCAGTGGACTTTCGTTCATTCCCGTTCTGTGATTTACCCCGTAAACAACGAATAGAATAACTTAATCAACTTCTAACCAACTAAATAATATGATTAACTTCTCTAGAACTGCGATTGGCGAGAAAATAACACTAGTACCGCATATTCATAATTATAGTTATCGTTGGCGACGACTGAGATTGCGGTATGCGGTAGCACATAAAAACAAGTACCTACGCAAGGACGCGTTTTAACTATTATTATTATTCCCTTAAATGGCAGGCTTGGGCCAGTGTCATTTTTATAAAAATAATACAAAAATTATGGCGATCGTCGCCAATGTCAAAATAGTTGTACAAATTGTTTCAATTTGTCTCAATGACCGACTTCTATACATTTCCTTTATTTATATATATATATAAGGCATGTCCGGCATGACTGGATGCAGAGCCAGAATGGACTTATCCAAATGAGGAAGGAGGTCGGACAATGCCTCCCAATATTTTCCCAAAAAACACTACATGGTTTCATGAGCATACAGAGTTTACTAATAGACGAATCTAATATACAAAATGAAAATAAACTTTGAACAATTTGGTCACCAAACCAAGTGGTTCGAATCTGTCTGAGACGTACGAAAATTCATAGGACATCACGTGGACCGTAAAAACAAGCGCGTCCTCTCCCTCCTCGTGAGCTCATGTGTGACGTAAGTAACCCTATTATCAACACTACTTGACTGAATGGATTTACACCGGACGATTTTTGACATAATCGCTATGCCTATTTGAAGTTAAAAACATTTTTTTTTATAATGTTACGTGACGGGACGAACAGGTCATGCGCCTGATGGTAAGCTACACGCCTGTCCATAACAGTTGCTGCGCCACACAGAACTTTAAATCGCAAAGATCTGAGGGGCGTTGCCACTGCGCCCGTCACCCCGAGAAATAAGTTGACAAGTTCATAACCGGAACAAAGTAATGCTAACATCACTGCTTGCCGGCAGAAATAGGTAAGGTGGCAGTACTTCCCTGGACGAACTCTTCCACAAGGAGCTCTACTGCTACTAAAATTGTGTTACTAAAATTGCACTTATTTTAATAAAATTAACAACGCGACAAAATACTTGGAGGAAGATTTTCGTGCTATAGAGAAAAATGGCGAATGTCGCTTCAAACATTTTCGGTGTCAGAATTTCAGGATCATCATTCATCAGCTTCAGTCACCGATGGAACATGGATGGAACGAGTAGTTGGATTGAAACATTGGATTAAAACGATATGGCAAACGTAGTGACTTCAATCTCTTTGGGTTATGGTTTAAATTGCACTTTTGACAAAGACATTACTTGACACTTAAATGGTACAACAATCTTAGACTATTTTTTTCCATCCTATAAGACAACAATACATAAATCCAATGTGCCTCCTTTCTCTTCCATTCATCTTTTATGATGATGTATACACTTGTCTATCTAAATTTATTGTATAAAATAATACAAAAAAATTAACTGTTGTAATGATAACTAATAACATAATATTTTTCCTATATTTACATTAATTGTTTATTTATATCTTATAATTTTAGGCTGATCCTTTCTTCAATCTTTCTCCATCTTCCTAATCCCATTTCCAGGTTTAATTAGTATGATATTATAAGTTCCCCAGTTTTAAAAAGAAGTTAAAGCTCCTTTTAAGTGGCTGAGACACTAACAGCGAAAAGTCAGGAAAAATAAGAAAAAAATGTATTAACATTCACTCAACATTCAATTATTTCAATCAAAATAGACTTGACAGCTCTTTATCGAAACGCGACGAGCATAACCGGCAATTTGTCTTCTTTCTCAACCCTGTCACTGGCGGAATCGTCACGTAAAACGTCGAAGCTATTATATACACACAAAACTTGTCTCGAAGCTTTGCTGGCTTCCACTTAAATCACACATTTTCGAATGGAATTACTTGGCCGTTACTCTATGGATAATACACCTAATTTTGAGTTTCGATCTGTGACCTGAGATAACTTAGTCCAAAGGCAAAATAATAATAACGAATAGTCACGCAGTTCATGCAAATAGAAAAAGAAGAAGCAAGCTATCATCACAAACACTCCCTCAATATGCGTACCTACTGCATTTACTTAATTTCGGTCTGTAGAAATAGTTAAAAACTGCCAAAAAAACTAAGAAAAGAAATTCAATTCAAGCACATATTTCATATTTGGTAAGTCTGTCTTATGAGTTCAAGGAAATTTAATTTATTTTACATTAAACATGGCTACACGCGCGTGTCATGTATACCAATGCCTTACCATTGGGCGATCTACCTGTGGCTCCAATGTGGTAAATAGGAGACCGTTGGTGCTGGGACAGCACGCGCCTCATCATCGAGACTATCCGCTTGCGGAGGATCTGTCCACGCGCTATTCGGCAAATATACCTTTTTTTTTTATTGTGACTCGTCAAAATGACTGCACCGCGCCTGATGGAAAGTGCGAATACAGTCCAGAGATGAGAGTAACGGATGGAAAACACAAATATCTTCACTCCGTCTCTATCATTTTGCCGGTCTGGCCAAATGCTTCTTCACACTACGTTTGAAGGATGACCCGACCAAACACACTGCAGAACTTGGGCAACCTGAGCGGCATCCTAAAACCATTATTATAGTAGTAGTAGTAGTAGTAGTTTTAGCCCCCGGGCTGCACTTACAAGAGTTGTTTAAATTTCTACATTACATCATTTAAATCTACGCGCCGACAATTTGTCAAATTGTAAAATTTTGGTGGTGAAAAAGGAACGAGTATTTCAAAATAGATCGACAATGAGATTGTTTTTGTAATATAGATTTTAAGAAATGCAAACATTGAGGATGTGGATTATGTCGTCGAGCCTTTGTATAAAAGAATTAAGTAGATACCACAAGTAATAATTTAATGTAGATTATCAAACCTGACGACGGAATAATATTCTCTAATTTGATACTAATTCATCGGCAAAACTTTACACAGATGTTTAGTTAATCCTAATGTCTATGGTATCAAATTTTACACTGTTATCTAATTCCGGAGTTCACTAGCTAATAGGTACCAGCTAATAAATAATAAGTCGTTTAAATATTTCAAGTCTGCAAATAGGTAAATCATTTATATCTTAATGACAGCTCTTTCAACTAAAATCAAGCTAAGTTAACCAAATGACAGTGATCCAGAGAAGTGGATTAAACTCACTGCGCTAGAATTCCCGGAGGGAGCAAAGTAACGCAGCCGGCCCGGGTTAAGGCAATTTAGCCTAATTACTTGCTTACTCGATAAGTAAAATGATCTTTACTTTTGTCTTCCCTATACAGAAAATTGGAACTTGACCTTTGTAATTTTTCTTACAGAAATATTAAAATAAAAATGCAATCAGTATTATGTACATGTTTCCACGGAACGTACTGAAAGCAGCGGGCACGTTCCCACTCATTTTTATTCTGTTTACACAAACCAGCTGCTGCATCTCAAGCTCGCTCGTAAAAACTCAATTGGAATCAGAGTAAAACATGTATTCTTAATGCGTTCTTTCACAACGTTTTTACATTCCAATTGACATTAATATAGATGCTCAGATGAAGAGGAAGGAAAACATAATAAAATCATATTTTATCTTTCATAAACTTCTTTAATTATGTTCCTATACTAACATCAGCCAATTGAATTCCACTTACAGCTAACACATAATTTACAGTCTTTCCAAATAATACTTAAAAGATTTTATTTTAAAAAGTAATAAATACGATGAAGCAAATCTGTAGAAATGCGAAAATTTGGTATCATTATTGTACAAAAGTTACATAACTTTAAATATACAATTAGATTACAAAGTCTATTTACAACAACTTTACTGACGATTCAATTCGTCTACAATAACCTTGATTTTTAATGACGGCCTAGGGCTATCTACAGGTTAACAGATCACATGCAAAGAGATCCTTTGGGACGTTTTATAGGTCCATCAGACGAGGTATGTTTGCACAGTGTGATGTAGTACAACAGACTGTGGTTGCTGATGTCGACCGTGGAAATCGTTAGATGAGTAATCTGAGTCTATGGTAGAATAGATGTGCTCAGATAGAGGACGGTCGCAGGGCGAGCGCTCAGCGGAATTCGCGGATTTCCCACAGAGTGTTTGGCAAGTACTATTTAACACTGAAGCATCTACAGTATATGTATTTGAATTCCTACCATAATTTAGCCTTTTCAACTTATGACCATGCTTCTTCGAAGACGGCATTGCATATCGTAACCTTTCCCAAAAACGTTTCTCTTTCCATGTTATCTCCAAACCCGTTTTGAAATACGACTTCAATTCCGGATCTCGTGGGACGAGCCCTGCGGCGACTAATATTAATTTATGTGGATTCTTCCGTAGCGCCCGCTGCAGCGCTTGTCGAAACTCTAACTGAGACCATTCGGTCGAGATAAAATTTTTTGTTAGAACGACAATTATACGTCTAGACGCTTCTGTAGCTTCCACCACCAAGTCGGGGAACTGAGCGTATGTAGCCTCAAATTGAGGCACATCTCTGTAATGCAGACAGAGGTGATATGATGGATAACCGTTCTCTAATTCTCGAGCCAAAGTTTCTACGACAAACTCCTCGTCCTTAGGACTATAACAAATATAAGCGTCATAAAGCTTATCAGCGTCCTCGAAACCGGCTAACGGAGAAAGTTTAATGCCGCAATTGGAATATAACCACATTCTGCAAGCATATCTAAACGTGAACACTAAGGCTAATATTAATAAAATGAGCATGAACCCCGTCAGCACCGAAGCCAGTAATGGGAGGTTATGGGAGACAAAGAACGCGCTTATCATCGAGTCATCGCTTATTTCACTGCAAACTGTCACATTTAAATTCAATGGCTTCTTCACGGGGCTCACGTTCTCGTTTAGACACCACAAGTTATGGACGTCAATAACTTTTTCGACATTCTGTGATACGTAAGTTAAGAATCCTTGCAAATATTTACAATCACAGGACCAACGGTTATTACCGATATACAAAGTTTGTAACCTTTTGTTATTGTCTAAATGCCACAGTCCGTAATTCACCAGCCTGTTTCCGTCCAAGCGTAAAACTTCAAGGGCTCCCAAAAACGAAAAAGTTTCATTTGAAATATACTCAATTTCATTACTCTGGAGATACAATTCTTTCAAATTGCTTAACTTGGAAAATTCCGGCCCTCGTAATTGTTTCAGTTTGTTATTATCTAAATGAAGTATTCGGAGTTCTTCGAGTTTACTGAAAGTGTTGTTGTGAACGTAGATAATGTTACTCGAGTTCAAATAAATTACAAGAGCCATACGGATTGTATCGAAAACAGACTCATTGAGATCTCTATACACATTACCGTCCAAATATACATGCGTTGCAACCATAGGTATGTCTTGTGGTACATATTTTATTTGCTTTACAGAACAATCGACTACATTAGTACTTCTAGTGGAATCATGATAACAAGAACAGTTTCTGGGGCACACAATTTTGCAGTCACAGATATGAAAATCGCAACAATGGCAGTCATCCGGGCAGTGATAGTCATATTTACACAGAAAATCTTTGATATGTAGAGAACTAACTGGAAGGTATTTTACGCCACGAACGTACGACTCCTTGCATATAACGTTTTCTAAATCCATGACGCGCGGGTACTGCCTCGAAGTGACGGAGTTAATAAGCAAGAGCCACTTCATTGTGCAATCGCAGCGGAACGGATTACCGCTAATGTAGAATTCTGGCAATGCTCTCTCATCAGGCACTCTCGAAATGCGTAGACTATTTATGTCTAAGCTTGCAATCTCGTTGGCATACATATCGACCCGAGTCAAGTTGCCCTTCTCTAAAAACGTGTCAGTTTCTATGCTCGAAATAAAATTGTTGTTTATAAACAGTAGCTCCACGCTGTTTGGTATAGATATTGGAGATAACGACACCAAACGATTATGACTTGCGTCCAAAGTTTTGACATGGAGATCTTTTTGAATTTTATAGTAGTTTCCGAGTATTTCAATAAAGTTGGCGTGAATATCTAACCATTTTAAACTAGACGGTATAAAAGCATAATCAAACCACACCAAATGGTTTTCGGATAAATTCAGCCATAACAACTTCGTTAACGACACAAATACTCCATTTATATCAGAAATGAAGTTACTGTCCAAACGAACGGCTTCCAATTGCGTGTTAGTTTGAAAGGTTTCCGTTTGTATTGACTGTATTTTATTTTTTGCCAGATTGAGCACCTGCAAGCTAGGCAAGCTCCAAAACATACCCGCTGTAAGGTTTCCGATTTGATTGTCTATTAAGCGTAGTCCGGTCAACTGCGATAAATTTTGAAATGAACTGTTTGTAATTTCTGTTAATAAGTTCTCCCCCAAGTCTAACGATTTCAAGAACGGTAATTGCAAAATTGCTTCGGGGACTTTCGTCAACTTATTAGAACTTAAATCTAACTCCTTCAAGTCGGAGCAATTTCTAAAAGCGTTCTCACTGACGTACGACAATAAATTGTTATTCAAATTAAGTTTATTTAATATAAACAACCCGTTAAATACATGGTCCTCAATAGTGTGCAATTTATTTTGACCTAAATTTAGAGTGTGCAAGTTAAAAAGGGGCGAAAAAGCGTTGTCCTCCACAGAGCCTATGGAGTTATTGCTCAAATTAAGAATCTGTAAAAAGAAAAGGTCTTTGAACATGTTGCGGGTGATCCGCGCGACCGAATTGCGGGACAGGTCGAGCACGATTAATCTTATTAGACCACCGAACGTTTCATCTTCTATGTGGTCGCTCCTCAATTTATTCGCCGAAAGATCTAAAACGAGCAATTGTTCCAACCGATTAAATATTCTCTTGGGTAAAGTTTCCAGCTCATTATTTTGCATATAAATTTCACGAATTTCTCTCGTGTTATAAAAGAGTCCCTCTGGCAAATATTTTATGGCATTTTCTGAGAGATTTAGAACTTTCATCGATAACAAGTCACTAAAGACTTCGGCTGACAAATCGGTTATTTTATTGTTCTGTAGAAACAGCTGTGTCAAACGCCGTAAATGTAATATTTCAGAGTCAGCTGGTAACGACATGATGTCGTTATAGCTTAAATCTATCGTCTGCAGCGTCGACCCGCATTTATGACCAAAGCCCAACTCGTCAACAAACTTAATTTTGTTATGCGTCAAATTGAGAGAAATTATGTTTTCTAGCGCACAAAACAAGTCCGATGGTATTTTTCTAATGTTGTTGTGGGCTAGATCTAGTGTATGCAATTCTCTCAAACCGTTAAAGGCGCCCAAGGATAACTCTAGCTCTTTATTGTTGCTCCACTCGTTATTCATGGAGCGTATCCTCAAAGTTTTGAGTCCTCGTAAGCCCTCAAATACGTTGCCGGGTAGTCGCAAGATCTTGCAGTCGTTGATGGAGATCTCCGCCAAACCTTGCATGCGGCCGAAGTGATGATCCCGTATTGTGCTCTCCGCGTGCAGTGAGCTGCAGCGGATCGCGAGCCGCTCCGCGCCATCCGAGTGCATCGAACCGACGACATCGCCGTCGGCCGACAGCGCGCGAACGTTGCACTCCACAGCACCGTTCTCACTGGCCACTCGGAAACACGCATCGGCATCTGGCGCTTCCGTAAGCGCCGCGCCCATCACTAAACAAAAGAATATCGCGTTGATTATCATTTTAAACACCGCGTCCATATCATTTTTAGGAGCGCCCGAACGTGTCGAGTAATGAAAGTTTGGCAAGAGCGGACATGCTCAGCTGTTCGCGGCGCGGTTTCGAGAGGCAGTTCGATAGCAGCGGTTAAGGCCCGGTGCGGGAACATGCATGTGCGCGCGGCATGACGCGGCCGATTCTTGGCTTAGCGCGCGATCCCCCCGCGGCAGCGCGACCGCGACTGCCGCACAATGAAATACCATGAATGCGCCCCGCCGCCCGCCCCCTGCCTCACGTCTCACACCGCTGTGCTACCACCACTGGAGGGAGCACCATCGCATTTCTATTGCCGCATACTAAGTAACCCCGTAGTTTTTTTACTTCTGCACAATACGGACACCGTTACGTGACTCAGATTGCATTAATGTTATTATGAGATGAGTCCAAAAAAAATGTATGTAATATAAATAATTTAAATTATAAGCTTATATCGAAATACATTTTTGATGGAAATACTCGGCGACAAACAATGTGGTTGCATGTGTTGTAGCGACAAACCAATTGAGGTTGTTAATACTTTTCTGATAGTAAAACTGGACTGAAATTTATCTTTGAAGTAGACCGCTATAAACGTCAGGGATAATTACGGTTTATTACGACCCTACAGAGCACCGTCGTAAAGAGTAGATTCGCAGATGTTTCTAACAGTCCTTGAAGTTACGGAAAGCTAAACAGATTTAAATGCTTATCAATGAAAGACGATGAAATCGGACTACGAATACGAGCTGCATTCCTACTGCACGCTGGCTGTAAGCCTGCTGTAAACAATCAGCGGTTATGATTATCCTGTGGTTGTGATGCAGTCGCAATGCAGTTGGTACAGCACATGTACCGACACCCTTACATCTTGGTTTTGGTTCCACATTTTTATAATCGTTACAAAATGTTCTGTACAATAGGAATTAATTAGTTCACTTTAATAATTAATTTATTGATTTAAGTAACAATTAAGTAAGGCATATTCTGAAACTTTTCTGTTTTTGTTACGTACACCATACATCATCAGATAAAATGGTTGCGTAACACAATAGCTTACCTATAAAGGACTAATTAAAAACAAATTAGAGACCCGTTTGCCTTCCCCAATTAAACTGGAAAACAAATGCGGTGGAAGACTTTAAAAAAACCTTTATTTGAAATAAGTATTTCTGTTAACACGAATAATTATTAACCGTAACTAGCAACACTTGCTTTTCATAAAACGTATTTTTTGAACATTTGAACAATTAACAGTCGGTAACTGTCTAAAGCAACAATTCTCAGCTTCCATATGCAGTTGAAACACTGTTAGGAAGGTGTTTTTAAAAAAAAAGCTGTTTCTAAAATCTTGAGTGAGATATATGTATTTAGGTTTCGTGTTTGGATATAATTTAGATTTGCCCTCAATATTCGTCTCACAGACGAATCCAAGCTTAGCCTTCTAGGTGTACCCAAATTCGATGACTCAATTCCAGCCTTTTCCCAAATTCAATCTCAAAATTTTACTCGTGTGCAGGCAGGCTCCTGAGTCTAGATACCAACTACGCCATCTGTATTTTAAAAGATTGCTTTTTCGTTCCTTAATTTTCATACGTACTTCGCTGCTGTCCAGCTTGGAAATCCCATAACTTGATGTCAATATATTCCGACCTCAAAGCTCTTCTTCAATCCATTCTCAACGTCCATCCCACCCACAAAGCCTGGACGCAAGCTACCCTCCCCATTAGACACGGTGGTTTAGGCATCAGGAGCATATCCGCCGTAGCTCTTCCGGCCTTTTTGTCTTCAATCTACGGCACGGCCAACCTCTTAGGCAATATTCCAAGGCTTCCGCCAACAGACCGCGAGGTGACGTGGTTAATTGAGTCCAAAAACGCCTAGAACCAGGCTTACCCCAACGGAAATTCCTCGTCCGACCCCGAAATTAAAAGGAGCTGGGACAATATACTGTGCAAAAGACTTTAAATTACTTAATGAATCACTGCACCCCAATAGACCGAGCACATCTGGAAGCGGCGTCCAGGTGGAAATCTGGCCACGGGCTACGTTTTCCCCGCTGCCAGTACCGGTAGCTTTCTTAGCGCCGCCCGAGACCATTCGTATAGCTGCAGGCTTGTCTTGATGTCCCAATTTGCTCTCCGCATCGATGTCCTTGCAGCAAAGACGTAAGTGCCCTATCACCACGGTCTTTCCTGGCAGCTGAGCGCCGGCCGTATCTCCCGGCGGCTGAGGCAGCGCCTTTTCACCGCCCGAATTACTTCTCAATAATGTTTAATTCTAGCAACTAAGAAACGAACACGTTTCTTGGTTGCTACAATTATTCGACAGTCTAGTCTTTATTTTCATATACTTATAGCATTAGTTTTTACTGGATTTTAGAAAATATATAATGTATTAAATTTCTCGTGGTAGTATCAAGTCTTTCTATTTTTAGGTTAGCTCGCAAACATCAATCGCTCGAAACTCGCGTGACATGGTGGACATCTTCGCGCGCATGCGTAATGCCGTGGAAGTGTCAAGCAGTGGTATTTATCAGAAACCGAATGGGGTAACCCCTAAACGTATTTCAGCGCGTGCAAAATTGAACATAAATTACAGTCCGATAAGGTATATTTTATATATAGCTTTTGATACCGGCAGCCGCAAATACACACCACAGGCACACCACCAATAAACTCAATTACAATTAATTTCAATACAATTTCAACAATATTTCATTTTATTCAATAATATTAAAAATTAGCACCAAGATGTGAATAAAACTACTATATTCGTTTTTTTTAATTTTATTTATGTTTCCTAAAGCCTAAATTTAAATTAACATATTTACAGTTTTGAAAACGAAATATACATAAAGCAAAGTCCACAACACCTAAAAAAATATCAAACCAAGTAGCATATGGCTAATGCTGCTAATGATATTTTTCGTGGCGTCGATTTTTAGAAAAAAACCTAATATGCTGAGATTTATAAAGACAGTTGAAATAGCATTGGATTGACAACACGTCCACATACAACGCGAGTTCAGTGTGTTACTGAAGTTCTTTTCAACCCTAAAATAATTACTATAATTTTAAAATGCACATTTTGTTTTGTTCTAAATATCTTGAAATTCTGCATTACATACATTAATAATACATCTAAATATACCAATTTAGTAATTTTACAATCTCACCATTTCTTAGAGAAAAAAGTTATATGACACTGAAATCAAATATAATGCCTTACATTAAACAAACAAAACATTCAAAAATGATATCTAAGAAAAAGTATTATTATTAGAATTTCAATCATCTTGTCATCAAAATATTTACAACAGATAAATACACTTTATTTACAAATTACAAACCCGACGAAAGAATTCGATGCTTTAATTTTGTAAACGAGCCTATACTCTTGTATAAATCTCTTCTGTCTTAAAAGCATAGCCGTGTGGTATATTATCACAATGACTTATAAATATTTCTATTAATGTCTATAACCTCCATAAAGCTATTAATAATAATAATATAAAAAATTACCAATGAATGTAGCCCATCGGTCATTAATGAGAATCGGAAGTTCAGTCTTAACACATCTCTGGTGTCAAAGCATTTTGTTCAATTATTTGGCTCAAGGAATTCCTAACATTCTCACAATTTCAAATAACACTGCTGGCGATCTTTGGTAAGATTTAAGAGCGCGTACTGCTGAGATACGCCCCGCAGATAACAAGGGATTATTAAGGCCTGTTCAGACATAAGCGTTATTCATTAAATTCCGCGACCAGAGCGAAACCGGAATACCGCGCCGTATCGCCCGGATCGGCGGTATCTTTTCGCTTGCTTTGCTAAACAGGTGTCCCCGCACGATGCTCTCGCATCAAAGTGGCAAATTGATTCCTCCGAACACCCCGCAAGTGAGTCAGTGACGATTAGTTGACATAATACTAATAAATGATAATGAATAATGGATTTCATTTAGCGTGAACAGACGGAATACTGTGTACCCATCGGATTTCGCTACCCACAGTGGCAGCGAATAACGCCTACATATCTGAACAGGCCTATTATACACTGCCACCATGGCTTTACTAGAAACAGGTTGAGTGCCTACTTTTACGACCGACTTCACCTTACCGCCTTTGGTGGGGGTCACGTCTGATACGGGGACGGATTTAGGTCAATACTTCCCGGACGTGGCAGCTAGAACCAAAGCAACATTAGCGTAACTTCTCCAAAAAATTTCGCATATACTCACGAGCTATGATTGGTTTTACGAGAAGACTACTTTGGTGGAAATAATCCGACGTGAAGTCCTATTACAGCAGCAAAACATACATTGAAAAGGTACAACAAATAATGTAGAAGTGCTCTTTCAGTGGGGTGATTTTAAATGGAGTTAAAATTCAGGAAAAGGACTGGGTACGCTATCGCAAAACTTGTCAGAAGTCAATTTCCAGGGTTGATATGAAATCGAGCATTACCATTTAAAAATCTGGAACAGGCTTAATACTAAAGCACTGCAACAATGATAAAAAGTCAAAAGAGCAAAAGACAGCAAAAAGTCACAGAGTCGATGACTCTTAAACAATGAACCCTGAGCAAATTTCGGTCTTTACATAAAATGGTGACGTGTTTATTCCAGTTTAAAATAACATTTTCTTGTAGTTAATTTCAACCATACATCATAATATTCACATAAAGTCAAGAAATGTAGTAGTTATCTAATTATTACAGAACTCTACAAAGGCCACATTTTTTAGCTATTTTACAGTTTATTGCTTTAGAACGATCCTACATTGATTGTCAAAAGTTCGAAGTAAGACTTTAACTACAAAAGCTATGATCTAATAAAGTTACTACGAAGATGAAATGCCAAGTAGGACCTTGACACAACAACCAGCCACAGTCACTAGCAAAACCAATGTTTTATCTAACTGTCTCTGTCTGTCTAATAAACATGAATTTTTAATACATACAGTATAATACAGTAAATATTCAAACTTATCTCTTTGCTCATACGCCCATATCACTACCCACATTTAAAAAGTAGTGAAGGATTGTCCATTTTAATGCCTCTCTTACATATGCACAATAAAAGACAAAATCAGTTTACATTTAGTAAAAACTGTTGTCCTAATACTAAAGTTAAAATATAACTTTCCAGAGGCGCTCGAGTGTCAGCAACACTTGACCATATACCATAATAAATCCACACTCACTGATATTGTACCACAACACACCACACTGTCACTTAGCACCGTCTTTTCTTAGCTGTCCACTCGGGAAAAGGCCTGGTCTATTTTTCTAAGGCCTGTATGTGGTCGGGGCGCTCTCCGCGCGCATGCCGCAGCCACATCTTGTTGTACAGCATCTCCAAACCAGTGGCGTATGCCCTGCAGTCGAATAGGGGGCTTTCGGTGCGCGCCGACCATACCTTCGCGCGGATTGCTTTCAAGCTGTAAAAGAAAATATATTTTTAAGCAACTTTTACGTTCAAAATATACCCAAGTTAAATGACACACGACATTCGTTTTTAACCGGCAGCTTCTCATGACTGTGACTATGATTTAATATATATGCTGAAGTGAGTTTGATACTTACTATTCCCTATCAGTTCCTAGTCTTACAGCTATGTCTTGATACTCCTGCCTTGTTCGCGCGATCAATTCAGGGCATCCGAGGGTATTCAATTGAGATGCTGCCACTCTGTAAATAAAAGATTACCCTGCATTCATTGTTTTCACCACACCTTGTTGACCTAGGATACAAATGCTACTGTTGTTTTTTAGGCATCCACAATATTGATGTTTTAGATTACCTTTGGGTACTTCAGGAAATCTTAATAAATAAATCAGTCTTACATGGCACTATACCCAAGTAATGCTTATAAGATAAGCGTATGCTACGCGTTGCATGCAACTAGCAGTGTAGGGGTACATTTTGGGGAATGACAACATTATTTTTGGAATAACTGCCACATGTTAAAACCTATTTATCGGGGCTTACATTTACTTATTTATTGCGTAGAATTTGGTTACTAACATTAAACCGTTTTACTAATTAATCAAATAATTAGTCTAACATGCGCTACTAGATCTTTAGATTCGAATAGATGGGACTCGGCGCATAATCGTGTAACAAGCAAAAAGTAATTTTCATCATTCTTTGGTCGCACTATGCAGTGGTCTCGAAAAGTTGCAGTGTAGCCATATATAAAGTTTGAACATATGTACATAAATTATCAGGTATGGGCGCCCGAAGAGATTATTGAACAGCAAGATGTTAGCACATTTTATAGAAAACTGACGTAAAAATAAACAACCACCTTGAGGCGAGAGTTTCTCCCGGCAACGTGACCACAGGCGTGCCTGTCCACAAAATGTCCATGCTGGTCGTGTGTCCGTTGCAGAGCGGCGTGTCTAGACACACGTCGGCTAGTTGCCCGCGTCGCACATGCTCTTCCTTGGCTGCCACGTTGGAGAAGATTATACGGCCGGGAGGTAAACCTGTCAATTAATGGTTCTTAGTTATGGGTGTTTTATAGTCACGAATAAGATATCAATAGGACTCTTATATTCTCATAGGAGGGCTACCACTGCTAAAACAGAGTAAGAAATACAAGCGCGTTTCTGAATTTACAAATTGTTGCATGAATAAAAATTCATCAACTCGCCTGCCAAGCGTGGCACTAATGACAAATCAACATCTATCAATCGAACAGTGAACTGTTCAATACTAGCTGAAAGGGGAAATAGTCGATGGCAGTATTTAAAAATGAGACCTCTACTTCATTTCGAGACAGTTTCAATATTTACGTAGCTGATTTTAGGCTAATATCAAAGTCCTTTAAATTCTTACCAAGGTGTTGAGCAGTAGTCTGTAAATTGGGTTCACCAACTGCAGGGAACCTTAGCAACCATAACACACTGTTTGGCACATGTTTCAGGATATAGACCCACATATGAAGAGTCAGCGGGTCGATTTTGTATAGCTGATTGAAGTTGCAGTACACGACTGCGTCATCGGGAAGACCGTATTGCTGGCGAGTGGTAATTACAATTGACTGGGGGACTTCTTCGCCTGTCGCGGCCTTGTTGTTGGTTTGAGTCGTCGCTAGGCCGTTTTGTAAGATTACACCATTGACTGATGTCTGTAAAAAAAAATATATTTTAGATTGTGATATAGATCACGGTAATAATGTACTTTATTGAAACTCTTTAAGATTTGCTAAGAATGATCATCCGTAGTAGTTCGCAAGATATAAAGTGACAATGAATAACCATTGAATCTCACCTGAACTTGTCCTGAAGCAATCATTGTTTCAATGGGAGTAGTTGTTGGTAATTCGGCCACTTTCAATGAGATTTCCACTGGCCTCGCTGCCCTAACAACTTCCTTGATCTCCTTGATATCAGTATTTTCAACCAATGGGGATAAATCTGTGGCGTTAATTACAGCAACGTTATCCGCAACACCGCCCAGGTTATTGTGACCCTTGACCTTGTCACTCAAAATAAGTCGCTCTTGCAAATGAGGGAACATCTGTTTATGGTCGCCAACGAAGTAAGTATTAGGCATGTACGCCAGCTTCTCACTATACTGGTTGGCCAGCTCTACAGGTGACGTTACAGCGTCAGTGACCAGGTAGTCCATGTAGCTCGCGCCACTTGTACCAGGATAGCCCAACCACATGACCTGTACTGGAGCCGGCCGCAAAGCGAATATCTCATTGCGTGCTCCCTTAGTATAACCGTTCATGTTCACAAGAATATGAATTCCATCCGAGTAGATCTTGTCCGCGGCTTTTCCGTTACAAGATACTTGCGACAAGTCGGTGAAATGTTCTGCTTCCCTCGCAATCTTAGAACGGAATGTTGTTCCATCATCAGGATGCAGCGCGTAACAGAATATTTCCACTTTGGAGCGGTCGTGCAATCCAGGTATCGACTGCATCAAATGAGAAGTAGGATGGTTGCCGAAATCACTGCTAACGTAACCGATACGCAGGCGACCTTGCAATTCGCGAGGAAATTTGTATGGAGGCTTGTGCAGAACTGTTACTTTTTCTAGGCACAAGTTTGCATGCCGGGCAGCAATCGCCTTTCTGAAATCATGTGTCAATGGATACAGCATCGAATGATGAGGATGAACTGATGGCAACCTATTCTTTTCAAGTTGCTCGGCAACAATGCTAACTAGTTTCTTCATACGAGCCTCATAATCAGTCCAATCGCAAACAATTTGAAGGCAGTGGGCCAAATTGCAATACGCATCAGGGAAGTCTGGCTTGAGTTTTAATGCAGTTCTGTATGACTGAATAGCTTCTGGGATATTTCCCGAGTCCTTGTGAATACTGGCGAGGTTGCTATGAGCGTCGGCAAACGCAGGATTTATCTGAATAGCTCTCGTGTAGCATTGCAATGCACCAGCAACATCTTGCATCTCTTTCAGGGTGTTACCCATATTACTGTACGCATCCGCGAAAGTTGGCTGGATGCGGATGGCTTCTTTGTAATGCATAAGGGCTTCGTTGAGTTTTCCTTGTTGCTGCAGCACAGAGGCCAAATTGCTATGAGCAGCGGCGAATTCGGGGAATACTTCCAGGGCTTTTAAGTATAGACGTGTTGCTTCTTCGATATAGCCTTGTTCGCGTTTGATGTTCGCTAAGTTGTTGAGGGAGTCTGCATGTGATGGACATAGCCGTAAAGCAGTATTGTAACATTCTTCAGCATCAACGACTTGTCCTTTCTCTTTGAGAGCATTCGCGAGATTACAATATGCATCTGGGAAATTAGGTTGCAACTCAATAGCCCTTCTGTATGTGTCAATCGCTAAGTCAATGAGTCCTTGTTCATAGTAGACGCACGCTAAGTTGCCGTGGACAACAGCGTTGTTTGGAGAGAGGTTCAAAGCACGTAGATAGGCAGCCACAGCCCTAATGGACAAAATAACTTTACTTTATTTCAATGTATGTTGTAATTTATATAACAAGGTCAATAATGGGTACAAGATAGTGCTAGATTCTGCACCAACTATAATCAGTACGTACTTAATGTACAAATAACGACTATCCCAAAAATTTGTGTTCCAAATAAGAGTACTACCAATTTCTAGGATCTACCAGAATTTCTGTATTACAATTACAGGTAAAGCAGACGTTCATATTTTTTATGTTATACTATAAAGCATACAGAAACCACGAAAGTTCCTGGCGGATTAAAGTAGTTCCATTGCAAACGGAAGTCTAAAACCAACATACAGTGGAAAAGCCGTCTTTGTACATTATAATTGTTTATCTAGGTTAACCATCTATGGCGATCTATGTATCGCACACACACACACACTCAACATAGCCCCGCACTAGGGAAACCCTGTGTCTCGGGTGCCATGGAGACACATATAGACAACCACAAATTAGACCCTAACTCACGAGAGAAATAAATGTAGACCATACAAATATTTCTCCCGGCCCGGGAATCGAACCTGGGACCTCTGCGTGGCAGTCCGGCATGGTACCATTTCGGCCACGGAGGCAGTTCGTCATTTCATGTCATTTCGCAGTGTGGTTATAATGCAATTAAATATAGTAGAAAAATAGCTCTTTCAGAACTACTCACTTATCAATTATTAATTTGTACCTGTCAAAAATTCTCGCCTCCTTAAGGACATTTCCCAGATTGATGTATGCGTCCAAAAAGTTGGGGTCCAAAGCAACAGCCTTCTCAAAGTGATGGATTGCCAACCAGATCTCGCTTTGAGCATTAAAAACGCATCCCAAGTTACTCCATGCCACCGCAAAGTCCGGCCTTGTCTCGATGGCCTTCAAGTAACATGCCTACACACACGAAAAAACAACATGTTAACAAATGAATCAGTAATGATATGTGCTTCGCGAAGATGAGTACCGAAATGTCTATTACGCCAAAGTAAGAGCATAGCACAGAGTGGTGCTGGGTTATCGGAATCAATACGAGGATAACCGAACACCAATCACAACAGTTTAAATTTACGCCAAATGCACCCTAAGGACACGACGCTACGCCAACTGCCAAAACCATCAGTAGGAAATGCAAACGACCGGCAAACAAACCCATTTGGACGTGACATATCTGTTACCACTGCATAATGTATCATTGAGAGTGCATCGTCACACAACACGCTTCCACTTCCTTACCGATGTGGGATGATCACGACATGATATCAAGTACGAGTTGTAACCAGTAACCTGTAAATCTGTCTTGCAAACCTTAGCACTTTACCTGCATGACGCAGTCGTTATCTCGAAGCCATAGCGAGTGTAGTACCAACCGTAACCCAGCTAGATACAGCACCGGTCACACCTACTGTCTTACCAGACAACACCTTGTGAAAATATAATATTGAATTAGTGGATTTTGAGTGGAATCTAAGGCACCGGATACTCGTCTTACTCATTATACTTATTTCAAATCGTAATGCTCATGATTCAGAGGATCATTGTCAACTCATGCTGTCTCCGAGCAGAGTGTTACAGGCATGATGTGGATGACCAAAATATAGTACAAATAAACATAACTCACTACGTCATACCACTAGTAAAAAAAACGCTACTGCCTCCTTTGATCCTCCTTTAGTAATGTATAGTAAAAAATCACTACAAGCACAAAGATTGAAAATGTAAAACTAAGAAGTTGAAGAAAACAGGATTTTATTGTTACAAGTGTTTAGGTTTAAGATATGAACATTAGTGTATTCTCTCTTTTCATTGAATCTTCCGCACAACATACTTTTACAACGTATTCTAGACTATTATTGAATATACCATTCACAATTTTGGATACTTATATTTAAATGCTGTGTGGAAAATATGTTACAAATTTTACGCAATGCGGTGGCCACATAATATCAAACAATAACAACTAAGAAATCCTCATAAGGAAATTGCATCAATAGACATAGGAAATTCTTGAGTAAAAATAATACTAGCAACCTACAATAGGATGCAAAAGTTGCTAATTGTAAAATAACAATGATAAACTACAGATTCAACTTAGGATTCCTGACGTCATACTGATAGAATATTGTGTGGCGATGTTATTACAAATAGAACAAAATTGAATACAAGAAAATGAAATACAAATTCTGGTTTTCAATCATATTCTCACGTGTTATAATGGTTTAAACAAACAGCATGTGTCATTCGTTAAAAAATAATGATGTTGAAACCATTACAAAAATAAAAATACGCAAATGCTGCTCTTTCTAACGACCAGCGATAAACTAATAAAGATATTTTCATCTTATTTTCATTGCGTCGCTCCAAAGCAAAAAGTAGTATTTATAGAACAAAAGAACGTTACACGTACAAAGTGATTTCATATCTTAGATAGATAGTGCTGGTCAGAGAAAGATTTTACGCTGTCGCAGTACGCTTTACGCTACGAAACAGAGAGTGCACTAATTTGCTAAAAGATAACAAAAGGACATAATCCTGTTAGCTTCAGAGCAAACAAGAAAAGAAACGCAGAACTGTATGTACCTTTGCCTCGTCCAAACGCCCGAGAGCCTTGAGCAAGTTGCCCAAGTCGCTTCTAACGCAGTAAAGATCCTGAAACAAATTACTTTTCTTATTATCTGTGACGACAAAGTTTTAAGCCAATTTGTTGTTGTCAGATTGCAATTCTTTCGCTTCAGAGCAACATTACAAAACACAATAATAAATTGTTTATAACCTTATGTTATTGAGTTTACTGAGTACAGAATCAACGTGACTATACACAATATACAAAATTTAAATGCGTTTTGAAATCCATACATCGGTTACCTCTTTTGTCCCAGTACTGTATTTTTTTCAATAAAGTGACGGGACGAACAAGTCGTGCGCCTGACGGTAAACTACACGCCTGTCCAACACAGTTGCAGTGCCACTCACGAGATATAAATCGCAAAGATCTGAGGGTCACTGTCACTGCGCCGTCACCCTGAGACATAAGTTGACAAGTCCCATGTGCCTGTAATATCACCAGCACTTTTAACCTTCAAAATCGGAACACAGTAATGCTGACATTACTGCTAGATGGCAGAAATAGGTAAGGTGGCAGTATATCCCTGGACGAACTCTTTCACTAGGAGCGCTACTGCTACTAAACTACTGTATAATAACAACGCACACATTCATACCTCGCAATAGCGAAACCCTATATCGCGGGTGCCGTGGATACACATAGACAACCACAAATTGCACTCAAATTCATAAGAGAAATAAATGTAGGCCATACAAATATCACCAAATACTTCTCCCGGCCTGGGAGTCGAACCCGGGATGTCTGCGTAGCAGTACATCATGGTAACCGTTCGGCACAGAGGCAGTTAAGAATGTGTATGTGTGAACATCAAATGTAAATTTTTTTTTGTTCTGCGAATTTAATCATGCATTTAGAAATTTTATCTTTCTACCTTTTAAATTAACAAGAAATTTAGAAATCTAAGTTTTGTGGTCAACAGCACATCAAACTATATACTTTTATTCCAATATCACCGCCAGTGCAACAGAACAAAATCCGTCATATGTAGCATGAAGGGCAAGCTCCATATCTTTCTACGTTAGTTTTGATTATAGTCACACTCAACTCACATTGGCACACTTTTTATAAAAAAAATAAAAAATATATTTACGATCATGAAACTGATTTTCAGTGAATTCTGAGCCCTTTCACCGTGTCTTAATTAGATCATCCCAAATCTGGTCGACCTTTCCCCACGTTTCACATTCGCGAAAGAGGTATGTCGGGAAAATAACAAGTAGAGGTCCGTAGTCTCTGGACACATGCAACCGAGGCAGACAAACATGTCCGTCTCTGTAGCTAACCACAAACGCCAGCGAATCCATAACCAAGTTCCGGTCCGCCAGAGACGCATCACAGCAAAGGCGTATCACTGGCGGAGGGCAAGCCCGGACGCCCGCTGTACCCTGGTCTTGCCGTCGAGCCCGTAGTCTCTCCAGAAAACCCTATCTCTCGGTAGTAGACAGGGACAAGGAGCATGATGGGCAGCCGTTTGTACATGGGTAAAAAAAATACTTAGTGTCTGCCCTGTATAATTGAAGACAATTTTTAAAATAACATTTTATAAGTGGACGCCCGTTATTTCGGTTAGTGGTTGTATGTAGTAGTTACGATCGAAACGCATCTTAGATACGTGCCTGGAAATAAACAATCTATTAAGCCTTAAGAGGACAGTCCTACTAGAGCGAGCGATCATGTTCGGTATTTCGTAGTTTGACGATTATTCAAATCATATAAGCTGTTACTCTCACGATATTTTTTTTTCAATGATTATAAAATCTATAAAATATATTCAGTACAGTCTTGCAAAATTTCCAGGGTCTATGTGAAAAAAAAAATGTATTTTCTTGATTTATCATTAGCAGAAGTAAAGCTCCTTGTGAAAGAGTTCGTCCAGGGAAGTACTGCCACATGAACTATTTCTGCCGCCAAGCAGTAATGTTAGCATTACTGCATTCCTGTTTCGAAAGGTAGGGAGCTGGTGAAATTACAGGCACATGGAACTTGTCAACTTATGTCTCAGGGTGATGGGCGCATTGGCAGAGCCCCTCAGATCTTTCCACACGCACTCAATTTGCGATTTAAAGATCTGAGTGACACTGCAACTGTTATGGACAGGCGAGTAGCTTACCATCAGTCGCACGACTTATTCGTCTCATTACTTGATATTATAAAAAAAACTTTAGGATCACGAAACTGATTTTCAGTTAATTCTGAGCCCTTTCACCGTGTTTTAATTAGACCATCCCAAATCTGGTCGACCTTTCCCCACGTTTTACATTCGCGAAAGAGGTATGTCGGGAAAATAACAAGTAGAGGTCCGTAGTCTCTGCCTATCCCACTGGGGCCAAGCGTTATGGCATGTATGTATAGCATTTTACAGATACAACTACTAATTTTTGTTGAAAATGCGAATCAGTCTAGTGACCTTATAACATTCTGTTGTTCTACTACATTATTAATGAGGATTCATATTACAACAGATAGTTGGAGTTAATTCATTATTAATACCATGACTTAATGTTAATGGCAAATATTAAATGTTTTAAATTTATCTTGTTTAGCAAATGATGATCAATGTTATATGTTTACATAATGGCTTTTGCGACAATGTTTCCGTTTTTTCATAACATGCATAACACGACTGTGTTAGTGTTATTGACTATGGAGAGATCATTGTTGGTATAGTTTGTAAATTTTAATCGTCTAAGCTAAATCTTTTTCTTTTATTTTTTTATTAATCATAAATGTTAAGCTTTCATCAATTCATTATAAGTATATCTTGAAGTCCATGGTCAGATTTTGATCAAAATCACTCATTACAAAGTGTAAAAAAAAATCAAAATAGGAAAAATGTTACGTTCACCAAAAGACCACCTTCCTTTACAAACACCGGGTGTCTATAAAGTGAACTGCAGTTGTGGGAGCTCGTATATCAGTCAGACTAAACGAACAATTGTCGATCGTATGAAGGAACACATCCGAGCAGTAAAAAACAATGATGCACAGAAGTTGGCTATAGCACAACATCTCACACAGACTGACACTAACCACTGGATCGAGTTGCATAGCCCCCAGATACTCTCGACAGAACGTCATTCACTACATACCACGGTTGGTACGAGAAGCCATCGAGATCACGAAGTACAAAACATTTAACCGTGATGATGGTTTTAAACTGTCCAGTGCATGGAATCCGGTCCTTAGTGCGTGCAGTAATAAAAACAAAAACACCTCGAGTTCAGTTTCGCGTGTGGATACAGTGAGTGTGGTTTGTGTGAAAAAAGTGAGTGACAATGGTAACGCCACAACAAATCGCGATGAAGGTAGTCGTCGACAGCGCAAGAGGGTAGACAGATATGTCTGCTCTTAAAGCTGTCATCTCAACCCGTGACCATGGAGCGTGCACCGTTCCGAAATATCGGGAAAAAAAAAAAGAAAAAAGAAAAAAAGAAGTCATACCGTGGTAAGAAACCTGATACTAGTGATAATCATTAAGTGTAAACAATTCGTGATTAAGTGTTAAGAATTCATGACAAAGTGTCACGAATTCATGACTAAGTATAAAGAGTTTGTAACTAAATATAAATAATTCATGAATATTTATGAAAAGTTCATAACTAAATATATTTTTTCAAACAAAAATAAAACCCTCCAAAGTAGTAGATATTTTACAGAGTAATAACCCAATAAATATGCATCAATAAATATAGTCGAACTGATTTAGAAGTAAGTTTTTTAAAAATGGAGTAGTCACTATCATTGTGATTAGTGTGCTATACATAGCTGTATTTTCATTGTTATTTGTTCCTTGGCCGCCTAGAGAAATTCCTATTCATTACCGAAAATTGTACAACAATTTAATATTCTGATAATTATTATAATTACTTTAAAATAACTTTTTAACTAAAAAATTGAAGAAAATGGGTTACAAATACTGAGGTACCCTCTTTCCAACAAAAAAAGAATCATCAAAATTGGTTCACAAATGTCAGAATTATTATGCAACATCATACAAAAAAAACGTACAGTCGAATTGAGAACCTCCTCCTTTTAAGTCGGTTAAAATATACTGGCGGTATTCTCCGTCTAATCTGTGTGGATTATTCATTAGGCAATGCCAAGATGGGTCGTGGTTTTCACCATAGGTTAGACATTTAATTCGTGTACTATATTATTAAATACTCACTGGGTTATATTGCAATGCAGTAACATAAGCCTGTACAGCTTGCTCCATGTCACCTGCGGCCACCAGCGCCGCAGCCAGGTTGATGTAGCCATCGATAAAGTCCGGCTTCAGACGCACTGCGTGCCTGTAGTTCTCCAGCGCCTCCTGAAGCTGACCGCGTTCTTTGTATACGTTTCCAAGGTTGCTAGGGAAGAAAGCAAGTCGTTAACAAGGTGTAGCTACTTCAGTGATGGTATGGTATATTACGGCAAAGTTACCTTTATACCAATTATACGGAAAATAAAACTAAACTTGGCGAAAGGACTTAAAACTGTAAGCATCACGATGGCTCTCTTTTTTTGAGCAAGGAAGCAAAATTTTGTACTAGTAAGATTTGGCAGCGCACAAAATGTCTGCGCATTGTTGATAAATCCTGAAATACGATAAAATCTACTCGGATTGAGAACTTAAATAAGAAATACCACTGGTTGTTAAAAAGAATTAATGGAATTCATATTCCATAACGGCGGGCATTCATTATGCCTAAAAATATCGCAATTAAAATATTGGCTAAAGGTAAGGAGTTAAACATATTTGAAAATTAGCTAATGTAATGTGGAGTCTAAAATGTTTCTACTTCATTTCATTCTTCACAATTGTTCTAAAATGCATACATATTGTTCTAGTAACTAGGTAACTAGCATTGACAGTACCTATGTAAGGTAAAGATTAGGATTTAAAAAATCAACTGCTAGGTTGGTTATTCTATATTAAAAATTACTCTATTATTGAAAACATAAATGAAAATTTTGTTATAAGATTATGAATATTTGTAGACAAAGTCGTAGCTTCCATGAAAAAAAATTATACCAGTTATAATGCAAATATTTAACAACATACAAAACAGCTCCTATAAATAATATGAAATGATTGAATTAACCTAAAAGCATAACTTTCGTAGAAAAATTCAAGCAATTTTAAACTCATATAAGAACAAATCTAAAGAATAAAATATTCAGACATAATACTTAATAAAACATGCAGACATAATACTTGAAATATATAATGAAATATAAGTACATTCTAGCTTTGTATCTTGTATCTAACAATCATCCAAGGGAACAAAAAGCATTGTTCTTTAATTGATCTAATTCTATATTGAGTACTGTAATTACATAATATTTTTCTCCATTCCATAGAATGTTGTTGGTAAGACAAGAATTCCTAAAACTCATTCAACAAATTAACTAGGTGATGACCTGTATGTTGTATGTTCTAATTTTATCACGGATTTAAGATAAAAATGCGGTAGAAAAGACATTGCTTACGTTCGGAAAATAATTACGCCAAAATATGGCTACGGGCCAAATCCATACATTCCATATTCCAAATAGTGTAAATTTAAAAATTTCGAAATTTTTTTTTCTAAAACCTGACATCTAAAGTTCATGGAATGACAACTACTTGCCAAGTTTGATTGAAATCGGTTACCGGAAACTGCGCGAAACCGGATTCATGCCCTAATTTGTCACCCTTAGAGGTGGAATATTTTTCTTCAAAATTTAATGGGACCAATATGAAGGTACCTTCTTTCCAACCAAAAAGAATCACCAAAATCGGTTCACAAATGCCAGAGCAATTGTGTAACATACACACAAAAAAATAGTTGAATAGAGAACCTCCTCCTTTTTTGAAGTCGGTTAAAAAAAGAAGGGTATGAGAGGAGCAATTCAATAGTAAATCACTTTCTGAATTGGATCACCTCATATACTCTACTTTATGTGGTAATTTAATCCTTATAGCTTAAGCACAGTGTATTATACAATAGACAGACAACACATTATTGAGAATCATGGTCATGTATATTAATAGTTAATGATTATGCTCACTGTTAATAGTTGTGCTGCATTTATTAATGGTTGCCAGCTGCCAAAAATATGTAATATACAACAAGAATTATAACCAGACTAATGTCAGGTTATTTATTTATTTATTTATTTATTCACTCTCACATAAGGAAGATTGTACATTATAATTATATGTTAAACAAGACTTAATAATGACTAAAGTTAGCTACCTTAAGCGAGAGTCTGGAGTTCGTACTAGGTAACTAGACCTGTGTTACAAATCTCCAGGCTCCCACCCCGTTATAATTTATTTATTTAGTTTTCAAAAAGGTAAGTATATAATCTAAAAGGAAAGATATGAAGATGTTTCGTGAGTGAAATTTGTGTGTGTGTTTGTGTTTGTGTGTGTGTGTGTGTCTGTGTGTGTGTGAGTGTGTGTGTGTGTATGTAAGCGTGTGTGCGAGTTCTGAATAATATAATATTATAATATTTAAAATAATTACATTTATTTAGTGACTTTTATTAAATTTTCACTAGTGTCATAGTCTAATGTTAAAAGCCATTTCATCAATGTAACTTTGCAATCATGCCTGCACAGATTATAAACATAGATTTTAGAATTGATGTAGTTGTACAAGTGACCTCCCAGGAAACAGAAGAATTTCTGTGTAAAGCTATACTTAGCATGAAATTTGGGGTAAATGGCAAAGCGACGTCTGTCCTTGACCAATAGAGGATTGTAATTAACAAGGGAGTGTGCTTCAAGAAGACAGTGCAATAAGAAAATTTGGCGTACAGATAATACCTGACACTTTAGGAACAGATCTTTAGTAGGATAGAGGCGTGGAAGATTCCATCCAACCTTTAGGATAGCTCTCTGGGCTCGCTCAAGCTGCAACATATGAGCCTTAGCAACTCCACCCCAGGTAGAAACACAATAGGACAATAAAGTTTGACCGAGTGCCAAGTACACAATACGAAGGATGCTAGTATCTGCTACTTGACGTAATTTTTTAAACACAAAAATCAGCTTACGTAATCTGGAACTTATTGCATCAATGTGGTTCTTAAAGGACATTGTACAATCAAGGAGGACACCTAGATATTTGATAAGGTTGGACCTTTCTATTTTAGAACATGAACAACCGGGCATTTCAGGTCTCAAGCATGAATGCGCAAAAATAGAGTAGGCGTCATGGCAAGGTTGAGTGGCTTTAGTCATAGTCGAACAATATACTTAGTTTTGTCAACATTTAATGTAAGTTTATTCTTATTCAGCCAGTCAAGTACAGTACTGAAGCCATTTTGAGTATTGCGATATACTTCCTCCCATGTATTACCGTAGAAGATCATCAGGTTATAATTCTTCAATTCAATCTAGTTGTTGTTGTATTTAGAAATAATGTAGCCAATTTTAAAAATGTTACTACACAGAAGCTTCTAAGAGTATCGAAACAAACTTTATAAACAGAATACTATAACAATTTTGCCTAACACATTTTCTTTTCACATCAATTGTAATTTGTTTACTTACAAAATATTTTTGTATTGAGATTATTTTTTTCTTATGATATACTTATTATACATTTGTAGATTACATGCATAAATTAGTAGATTACCGTGTCAGTGTACATATATGTAACATTATTAGGCAGAAAAGTGAGAGAATATACTTTAAATCAGAACCTGCCAAGGAACCCATACTCCTGTAAAGATTCTAGAACATTTTCACCAAAAATTGTCAGCAAATGTTAGAATTTTTTAATTAAAAAAAGCATTTTACACGTTTGTGATAAAATTCATAATATTATCTCATTACATAACGATACATATATGCTACATTACATAAAGATAATTACTATCAATTGACAACTAAAAATATTCAAAGTGATAAACTAAATTTAACTTCATGTAACCTTTCTTTTTATTATTTATTGCCTTAATGCATAAAACAAAAACTCGATCAACCTATCACCACTCAAATGTCATAAAAATAGGTACTTTAGCCAAAAATGTGTGTATTAATGTTATAACGCTCTAATTTGTTAGTAGACATAATTTTATGTCTTAACAAATGTTAATTCCCACTGAACCTAAATATATGACACAGCAGTTTCCATTTTGCTATTTGAAAGGGGTCACCATTGTAGAAATTGACAGAGTATATCATAATAAATGATGCTTTGCAACAAGTGAAAATTAAACTTAGACTTATTTATTAATTCCCATACAAAAAGTTGTTTGTGCAGTATATGTATTTCTGTTAAGAGCAATAATACGTAAATTTATGTAAATTATAATTTAATTATGACAGATCTTTGCTCTCCATCTTGATTTAACAGCATGGGCACAATAGTCCACTGCCAAAAGCCATTTATCTACCTAAGCGGAAAGAAGATGAGCTGTCCTTCAGCAAACAATTGTTTTTTTACTAAGTGACAAAGTTGGAGTAGAGTTACAATAACAAAATACTATTGATCAATAAAATACAACTGTTCTGTGTCAATTACAGACTTTTGAGGTTATTCACTAAACAATTATTATTATTTACAGGTTGCTTCTTTTATACACAATATGAATATATAACTTCAAAGTGATCAGCCCCCGTAGCATGGCTAAATATGATAAGTCGCGACGCGCGCGATAAAATAGGAATAAGCACACACTATTGGCTGTCTCAATCAGATCAAATTTAGATAGACAATTGCCCGCGCTTATTTCAATTGTATCGCGCGCGTCGCGACTATCGTGCGTAGTCATGCTACACAGGGGCAGATGGTCAAAGATTGCAATAAAAATTCGTAACATGGCAAGAAACACCACACTACTGTTCTCTGCATAACAGCTGTTCTCGGCTCTGCTTTTGTGAATATGAATAAAAGGGGCCCAGACATTGATTTCAGCTACAAAACGATGGTGTAACAATCGCGAAAACCTAAGTAGTTATTTAAAAATAAAGACTTTATTGTCATAATAACTCTCAACTACAGATATGAGATTGATGGCAATCAGTTCAACCTCTAATGCCAGTTTAAAGTAAAGAAAGAAACGATGCACTAGGACAAGCTTAAATGGTCAAAAATATTAGATACAAAACAAAGTATAAATAGCTGTACAAACACAATTCTTTGTATTATCAGGTTATATTATCCTTGAATTGAACAAAAGCCGTCTTTGTTTATACAAATCATTGGATTCATGCAATACAACTGAAAGAATTCTAAAAAAGCGTAATGAAAATTTTATTTCTCACCTGTAAGCTTCAGCCAACAAAGGATTCTGCTTGATAGCCAATGAAGAAAAATGCGCGGATTTGTCCAACCGTCGACATTGGAAGTGAATGGAGGATAGGAGGAGAAGAACCCCAGTATTTGTATTATCTTGTCGCCACAGCTGCATACAATGCAGCTCTGCGCTGTCATAATCACCCGCTTGGTATTCTCGATGAGCCAACTCCAAAAGCCCTAACCAAACAAAGAAATTTTTGCATATTAATAATAGTGTAACAAAGACGTTAGTAACAGTGTTTGTAACGCGTCTATAACGTAAATGACGACTCTCTGAAAAGCTCTAAGCTCAAGAACGGAAATTAAAATTGTTATGCAGTTACTTTAATCAATGAAAACATCGGAATCTTCCCACGTCAAATTTCTTGTCTGAACATTACTCTGCAGTTGAAGAATATGTACAATCTGTACTGTTCACTAATGAATAAACTTACCAACGGTGGAAATCTGCGTTATATCTGACATTTTTAGAATAACAGCAGCGTTTGCGGGGACTCCAACTATTTGCTGTGGCTGCGTCGTGACAGACTGTGGCACTGCAACATTCGCCTGAGGTTGCATTTTTGTTATCATAGTTCAATAAACAAAAATTTCTTGTATTGATTTCTTTTTCACAACACTAAATCCATTGAAACAAATAATAATAACCATTAAAATTGATATTCCATGTTAATAATTCCACATTGCAATATCACACGCACAATTGCACGACGCGGATATATCGGAAACATTTCCATTGGTCAAGGTTGGCACAGTATTCATTATCTATGTTTACATTTAACCATAGACAGTCTCGTTTCCGGTTCCTAACTGCCAATCGGAATCGACACTAGACCTAAGAGACAACACATTTTATAACCGCGAAATTCAAATTATTTTTTGCGTATTTTGCAATGCGTTACAAAGGAAAAGGTAATCTTGAGTTAGTGAACACCGCTTGCGAACTAGCTGAACATAGGAAATGAAACTATTTTTCCGGATTTAAATCGCGTATATTTGTTTTTTCAAACAAACCGACGTTTCGGGCCCTTTACAGGTCCCATGGTCACGGATGACATGTTTATGTAGTAGCTGAACATGTTTATGTTCGCAAAAGGAGTTCGTACGAAAAAAAGTTCCAGTAGATTCAAAAATTATTCATTTATATATTTTTTAATATTCTGTAGGCAGCAAACAAGCATACGGTCCCCTGATGGAAAAGTCACCGTCGCCTATGAACGCCTGCAACCCTTTAGGGCCCTTCTCAAACCTCTTCTGAAAGACTTATGATCGAGAAATCAAATTTTGTTTGCAAACCATGTTCAAATGCTTGAAAACATTTAATTTAAAACATTTAAATAGGAGTAGAAAAATGCAAGACACAACTTTATGTTCTTTATTTTGTAAATAATGTGTGTAAAAAAATATTAAACTAGCACTTAACCTATAATACAAATAACAAGTAATATGGACGGAACCCCTTGTTACCCGTACATAAGCACAGACATTAGATATATGTCTGTGTACATACATAACAGTAATATTACCAGTGTTGGGAGAGGAAAATTATTCCAGTTACAAAACCAGGTATGTAGCATTGTATAGCAGGAATGTTTCACAAACCCAATGTGGCGAACCGGTAATGAACGAGGAAAAAAATTACTCGTACTTAATCTTTGTATAGAGAAAATGTCAACGTTAACACGTTATTTAACAAATAATTATTCTTAACTTTCTAAATATGACAGCATGTAAGCGATTTCTGTAAGATCTTGTGGTATGGAGTCGTGGTAGCACACGTAGAGTTCTCTTGATTCTGGTTCATTGAAAACCCTCCTGGAAAAAAAATTTTACAAGTATTTTTTATTATGATAATGGAGGTATTATTTTTGAAACTTTTCAATTATAGATTATGAATTGTCTTTCAGTGGAATAAGCCTTAAAATACCCGTTATTGACAATTAAATATATTCTTAAACTTACTAATTTATTTTTATCTGGAGTACTGGACATTGTGCCATGGCGATGAAAATGTACCACTTACCCTGTAACCCAAAACTGAAAAGGCTCCGAGCTCTTCTTGACCCCACATCGATTCAAAATTTCTTGTGGTGCTTGAAATAACATTCCTTGTTCTTTGACAGCCACTAAAATTTTATTGAGTGAATGGGACGATGCGTGGTTTTTCTTGAACCTAAAATTAAAGAGAGTACATCTTATAATTAATATGCAGCATATTATCTATATACCGCATACATCAACCGGATTCTTTTTTAAATAATTTACTATTTACCCATTTCATCAGTATCTTTATTCTATTATGCTGCCTCTGCCGAACGGTTACCATGCCGGACTGCCACGCAGAGGTCCCAGGTTCGATTCCTGGGTCGGGAGAAATATTTGTATGGCCTACATTTATTTCTCTCGTAAGTTTGGGTGTAATTTTTGGTTGTCTGTATGACGACTACAGCTGGGCGTGGTTCCCTCTAAGAAAAGCGTTGAAGCCGCATTTTAGCGTATTGGCCACGCGCTAGCCTACACAGGCATAGTTCATTCTACTATGATACAGGATTGGTAACTTCAGACATTTTCGAAGACACAAATAAACCTTCTCCGATTTGCAGGCATCGTTCACCGTTAAAAGCTGGTAACAATTAGTAAACTGACCCTTTCAGGCAACCTATTCAAATATTTCCATAAGAATTTAGTTATAATTCGCCTTTTTCGAAACCGGGTAAAATACATTTACAGGGTTCCAGTTTTCGTAAACTTTTAAAAGTCATGTCGTGGTTGCCGATAGTTTTATCGATAAATAGAAAAAAAAAACGTAAATACATAGGAAATAAAACTATTTTTCCGGATATCTTTCTTTCTTTTGTTACAGACAAGATCGGAAGAGTCCTCAGGCGTGCATCTATCAAGACCTATTTCAAGCCCCTGAGGAAGATTTCTCAGTTCCTGAGACCCGTGAAATGCAACATCCCCTTACAGGATGCAGGAGTTTACAAGCTTGACTGTGAGTGCCGTCTCTCTTATATTGGACAAACGAAGCGAAGTATTTGTACCCGCGTCAAAGAACATATAGCTGATGTCAAACACAGTCGCGTAAAAAAGTCTGCAGTCTGCGAGCATGTCATGGATAAGCCTACACATTCAATGAAGTTTGACAAACCCCAGGTCCTTGCAAAAGAAGTCCGTCATCTACTCAGGATGCTGCGAGAGGCCATTGAAATTAAAAAACATCCCAATTTCAACAGGGAACATGGTTTCTCCGTACCACCAGTTTGGGATCCAGTATTTCCTCTAATGAAAAATCCCAAACAGACATAAGACTGTAGTACTAATTAATATGTTTTAGTTTATTCTAATTTCTATTAAAAATTAATAATAACGAGTTCTTAGGTTTTCGCGATTGTTACACATAGGAAATTAAACTATTTTTCCGGATTTAAATCGCGTATATTTGTTTTTTCAAAAAAACCGACGTTTCGGGCCCTTTACAGGTCCATGACCTCCAATCCAACCGTGACCATGGGACCTGTAAAGGGCCCGAAACGTCGGTTTGTTTGAAAAAACAAATATATGCGATTTAAATCCGGAAAAATAGTTTCATTTCCTAATTAATAATAAATTGAACTTAATATAAATTCATTCAATAAAATAATTTGTAAAACGTAATGTACCTTAAATTGGAATGTTTTCTTTGTAAAATTAAAAATAAGGTATTTAATTAATAACTATTGTAACTATAGTGAAGAAATAGGGTGGTTTGCATTAATATTAGACATAACTGGTTGAAGACTACCTCAGCCAACCGTGACCACGGGACCTGTATAGGACCCGAAACGTCGGTTTGTTTGAAAAAAACAAATTTACGCGATTTAAATCCGGAAAAATAGTTTCATTTCCTATGTGTAACAATCTCGAAAAACTAAGAACTCGATAATAACGTAAATATTATCTATATTATTGTGAATGTTATAACATTCTAATCAATAATAATAATTTTGACAGTTGGCACACTACTATAGAAATCAATTAGTTTAGTACAGATGCACGTTCTTATTTTAGTGCAAATTTAGATAAAGACACTAAAGTAAACAACAGTAAACCACGTTGTATACGGAACTACAAAATAAGACAAAAAAAGGTATACATTGTTCTTGCAGCTACCTTGTGCTCTGTTGCAGTAAATCGTGTATGCTTTTGCAAGCAGCTCTGAATGTCTTCACAATATAAGAATATAATGCATTATTCGCTTGAGCCTCGATGTTTTTCACGGGCGATATTAGAATTCCCTTCTCAGATTCCAGTTGTACGAAATGGAATAAAACGTTTTCGTCGCCTGCTGTTATTCTGAAAGATATGAAATTAAAATAACAGCGAACAGCCCGTACTATTGCAACTAGGATCTAAAACAACCATCCATATATAATAACCATGGTTGCCTTAAATATCTAGTAAAGTTAAAAAAAGTACAGAATAATAAGAAATTTTGTAAATGTGCACATGCTTAGCAGGATGTCGTCCAGAAGACATAATATCTTCTTGTTCTTCTTTTAGCTTATTGGCGGCGCCTTTTTTGGACTTCGCCAGTATCGGTTTTCCGCTTAGAAGCTTCTGCAGTGAGTGTAGAATATGGGAAAGTACAAGTTTAGCAATTACAAGTTGTTACGTAACTGGCTGTTATCTTGAAAAAGACATACAAATCACAAAATATCAATAACAATAGATAGATTGAAAAGCAATCAATTTACAATCAAAACGGACGTCACGAGTTTTATCTATACATATGCGCGATATAGTAGCGCTATAGTCAGTAAGTAAACAAGAAAAGAAAATTATTTCGTGTCACGAGGTTTATCTATTTACGCTAATGTTAAGCTTCCTGGTAACGGAAACATGCTTTAAAGTTTCAATTATTTAAAGAAGCGAACCGCGACACTTGGTTTCTATAAGTGCCAGCAGACGACAGTGTCCCACTGCTTCAAATCGATTTCAAGCAATTTCATAGTATGTTTCACTTTCCACTATAATCAAACATCACTAATCATTTTTTATTGCACACCACTTACAAATAAATTGGTTTAATAAAAAAAGTTTGTTTGTATAATGTTCCATACCTATGCACAGTTACGCGATCAATTTCGTTCAATAGAGACTTGCGAATATCCGAAACGTCGATAATGCTACTTGTTCCGCTACCCTCCTGAAATTATAGCATATTAATAAAGTTGTTCAGGAGATGTACAAATTTTTATTGCATCCATTGCAATTTCAATTGTCTTAATTTCACAATTTGTATGACTTCACTTGGATTGATGAACGTGGAATCAAGGTCCATAACACAGGTTATCTTCGTTAGGGCACGACCCAACAACCCGATTTAATGTTAGATTTTATTATTCGAAATCATAGAGCTCCAAAAAAGTTGTAGCCACTATTTTGAAAACCGATTTTGAAGGGACTAACCCAAAACAGCCATCTCAGGATGTCAAAACTTGACAAGTTGTGTATTTACAAACTTTAAGGTGGAATAGACGTTATAACATACCTGTCTATCCCAATCAGAATCGGAACCTGAAGAATCCCGACGATTCCTTTCTCTGTCTGCTCGTCTTCCTTGGACGCGTTCTTCAATTATTTCACTGAAATGAAGCAGAATTTAATTATATAATCGTCTAATTAATATTCCCGGGAATTAACCATGTCGCGTCGTTACTACGCTGCTACTAATTAAGTAAACGAGGCAAAATATCTTTAGCTGCAAAATGAACATAATTTTACATCCAAGCCAATAATATAAAGTTTACATACTTTCCTTTTTTCCCACTAGATGCGTTGCTTGTAAAGCTGTCACTCATGAGCAGTGATCGGAATTGAGTGAGTTAATTTAGTTAAATTAAAGAATAGCGAGGACATTCCCTTCTATAAATCCTGTGATTTTTCGGAAATGTTAAGCGTATTATTCATTGAAAGAGTACTTTGGCGACAAATTATTATTTCCTATTAAGTATTTTCTACAAATTATTGTAGAAAATTGTGTATTATATAAATATTAATATAAAAAAGATCAACTTCTACTGTCCCGATTTTATTCCGATACAATGAAATGATCCTTACAAGAAACTGAGTCGGTTAGCATAAAATTGTCAATATTATTCATTTTTATGGACAACTCTCACTTGGCATATTTTTAAGGAGTAAATGTTAATGTAAAAACGGGAATAATTTTCCAGATCTATACATATAGTTTACATGAAAAATCAAAACAACACGAAAGTAAGTAGGTCTAAAGTAGTAAATTGTACTTGATAAAATATCTAATCCAATAATATTGTGTATTGTAATAAATTGTGTATTATATATGTCTCAAAAATAATATTAATTATTTATTTCATATTTAAATACTTTAGCCATTAAAAAAATAAACAATATATAATCTTTAATTTTGGACTGTTTAGAAAACAAACAGTAAAAAAAAGAAATTTTATACACATTGATGACGAAATGGGTATGTCCATACTAAGAAAACGTTTATACTTTAGGTAGATAACTCCCTCAATTCCAATCACTACTCATGAGTGAACTAATTAACTTGTATAATAAATTTTCTAACGATTTCTTGCAAATTTCATTAATATTTCCACTCGGTCTAATAAAGTAATAAAGTTTACATTTTTATTCGAAGGGCGTACCTAATTTAAACGATAGTTACAAGAGAGAGCTGAAGTAATCATACAAGTAAATTCGCTTACCTACTCTTCAAACTATTCGAGTCCTCAGAATAGCTAACATCCAAATTACTAGAATGAGTAGAATGCCTGTACTGCTTACTATTATACCAAGGGTTGTATAGGCTATGATGGCTTCCATAGTTTATAGAGTTATCGCTCATGCCAATGTTAATTTGTTCCGAGGAGTTGTGACGACGTTTTATGTCGATCTGCGATTTTGACAACTTTAATGTTGTTGATTTGAAACTTGTTTCTGGTTTTACAGCTGTAAATAATTTCGCATACAGTCGCATACAATAGATTACAATAAAAAATAGCGTCCCAAATGTTTGCTCAAGTGTTACAAAATTTACGCCTTGAATTCTTGCCAACATGAACAGACAAGTTAGGCGAAAGTTTGATTGATGATTTGAATAAATATTTTCTATAAAAATCTAATTTTAATTTAGGTACAGGTAGTATAATACGAGTGAGTGCACTATGTATGTACACCACCACTTAATTGGACTACTTTTTCACAAATGGTGTCTTCAAAGAAGCGTTACGTTAATAGCCAACTTTGGCATATTACTGCCCACCTCCTGTATATATTCAAGCACGCAAGTACAGTAACTCCATACAAACATAGCGGAGGGGCTTGTATGAACACACCCGCCACGTGCCCTTTACGGACACACACATTTGCATTTAATAACGAAAGGCGCGTGAGACGACCAGCGCTGTGCAACGCGAGTACATCGCGATATTATGCGAATGTGTTCGTCTGTACACAGCACGTGGCGGGCTCGCACACATACAAATCTCGCTGCTGCGTTTTGTATAGAGTTACCATACTGATCTTATTTTATTATACTATGACGCAACATTCTTCAAAGCAAAGTTTCAAAATATGACGTACTCTGTTACATCAGTAATTTTCGGGTAAGTTTTTTGTACTCAATTTTGGTGACAATTTGTATTATTTAATTACTCGAATATATCATTGAGAAATATTAAAAAATATTTCAGGTTACCACACTCGAATATTAAATAATGCTTCATGATGATATTCTGTAAATATTTAAATAAAAAGATAATGTCACCAAAATTGAGTACAAAAAACTTACCTGAAAATTACCCACACACTAAAATATCGATGTCTACTTACTACTGACTTCCCTCATTTTTTTCCCTTGCTTTGTGAAGAATTCTGGCGATGTTTCCACTTGAGGCTGCGTATTGGAAGAGAACCAAGATGCTAAGTACTTGTCCAGGCCCACGTCGTACAGGAGATCGAGGCAGCTCTCACACTCTTCAACGTAAAAAGGAGAAGGTGGTGTTATGCCTGTAGTCTGTAAGATTGGTAATTTTATCTATATTAACATTTGAAGCAATAACATTTGACAAATTTTATAAGATATTATGGAACCGATATAAAACACTATTTCACAACAATGAAAAATGATACCCCAATAATTATGACCCAAAACATACTGAGCTAAAATACAAACTCACGTCTTCAGTACATCCTCCCGATTCCATCAACGTAGCCAAAACGAAATGTCCTTTTCCAACAACTAGTAAAAACCAACGTCCATCTGGTATCCTGAAAAAATTTTGATATAATTTATATCCTAGGCTTATTCTGTAATAAAAAGAGTAATTGCATTCATAACATCGATTATCGAAATTGTTGTATAGAATAATAGGATAGCGACAATTATCGGAATGAAACGCTATTCATTAGCATGAATAAATGATGATGGTGTTCAATTTGAAATCACAACCAGAAATGAAGCTCATGAAGCAATAAAAATTTTGGAGTACATTATTTGAGCAAAATAAAACAATCATTAACATTTTCATGAACACTTATCTTAATGCATGAAAAATAGTGGTTATATTCCTATGGGGGGTATGAGTAATTACGATGTGGCGAATGAGCATTTTATATGGAAAGATACTGAGTATTTCTAGTAAATTCTCGTAAATTTTAGGTCTGCTCATTCCCGAGGCATACGTAAATAAACGCAACGCGTGTGCAAGCAAAGTAACAATTAATTTAAAGTAATTATACCTGTATTCATTGCCATCATTCTTCTTTTCCCTATGTTCTCTTATAAAAACCTCTTTCCAAATAACTAACTTTTCCAACTCCTTTTCAATGCTAAGTCTTAATACACCATTTAGCTCCAGATAAGTATTAATTTCCACCAGATCAAAATCTTGCAAATGTGAACTTAGCAAATGTCCTGAATAGAACAAACATGAACCAATAACAGTGTAAAGCCTTTGGAAGTTATCCACATCGTCAGTCTGAAAAAAGTCAAAGGTGTAGCAGAAAATTAAAACCCGCAAGTATTATATCGTCTTGCTAACCATAATTTTACTGAATAAGAGTGGTTTCAACATATTACAAAATGCATAAAACACATATTGTAATCTTAAACTATAAATATTCTCATTGTGCGTGACTTTAGAGTCTGTAAAAACAACTCGTGTAATGTCATTTTTTAAAAGTAAATCATTGCTTTTATAAAGTCAGCCTTTCTCTTTGTGCCTGTGACAAATCCGCGGCATCCATGTGTAAATTAAGAGATGTGGAATAGAGAGGACCAATATTTTTTTATGATTAGTCTTAGGAAATCATAACTATATTTGACACTAACTATAGTTTATTTAAGTTAGCGACCTAGTATAGGCTGCTCTCTTTCGCACCACTTCATAAAAATTACAAGGACAAAAGCACAAGGGTAAGTAGGCGTTAACAAACGTTGAAATTATAAGGGCTCGTGCGTTATTGTTATTATTTCTGTATATTTTAATGATTTTTTTTAACAGTCATTTTACGTCAGTCAATGTACTTTGTTATTTAGTAAATCACCAACACAGCAATAAATGTTGATAAAACTTATTATTTATCCTAAAAGTCGTTTGAACTTTCCGTGGTGTCAGTCTCTTCTCCAACGTAAATATAAATAATATTAGTTAAATAAATAAAACCTGAAACCGTTTTAAATGTATGGGACTTGTCAACTTATGTCTCAGAGTGACGAGCGCAGTGGTAGTGCCCCTCAGATCTTTGCTATTTAATGAGTGGCACTGTAACTGTTGAGGTCAGGAGTGTAGCTTACCAATAGGCGCACGACTTGTTCGTCTCGTCACTTGATGCTATAAAAAATAATAATAATAAATTAGTAATAATATGTCAATAAGAAATACTGACCCATTCACGATAATCAGCGGCTTCTAACTCCGTTATGGCATCATCAACTTGTATTTTAACTTCTAATGGTAGCAACACTCCATGAGCAGCGAGTATATTTTCAAACTGCACCATATTCCTTATCTTACCATCTGTACTTTGCTCTTTACAAGAATCGTTCAGTAATGACACAAATATACGAGAAAATAAAGTATCCAATTTATCAACGTTGTTTGGTTTTGTAAAACATGATTTCAGGGATCCATATAAAAATTGCAACATTCTTACAATGTCATTGCAAACTTTTTTTGCAGCAAATAAATCGACTTTCTTGTGCGGAAATGCTATTAAGAATAAATCACTGTAATAAGACTTGTAAGTAACATTTATAAGTGTATTGTTATGTAACACAGTTGAACTTAAAGGTTCACTGGTTCCTAGAGATTTTGGTGCTAGATGATTCAATGTCACATAGGCACCCCTAGTGTTATACAAAAAATTTTGATTAAAAGGTCTTGGGTAGCAATATAACACCCCTTTATCGTCATTGCCGTGATATTCTATGTCATTGCAGCAAATATAAAGTATAGAGCAGGAAGCATCTCTTATTAATTGTATAAGGGTGTTTTCGGGAGCTTTTGACATCAGCAACTTTTCTATATCAATGGTGTATTGTTCGTTGACTACTTGAAAAGTTAACTTCGAATTTTCAATGTCTTCTATGACTCTCTGTAATACGCTGTTGACGTTATAAGCATTTATTTCAATGCCATTCACTTTGATTAAGTAGAACCCTGTTTTTACCCTTGGTATGTAAAGAGTTTTGGCTTCTGTCAAGAAGTCTGCTACTACCAGTGTTTTGCCATCTGAATGTGTCTCTAATTTGATTCCAAATAGTTTTTCAATTTGGCAGTTTTTGTCACTGGGGAATATCATATTCTTGCTTATCTGGAAACAATAATAACGATACAAAAATAAATAAATATCCGTAATATAAATAAAGTTATTTGATTTTAAATTCGGGACTTAATCGTGTATAAAAACATTTTATTTGCCTCGGCGTTTTGGACGTATTGCAACGTACATGGTCTCGAAAGGGACTGAAAAAGGCGGCTGTCAACGTCTTCTAGCCGTGAGAGTTTTTGTAACTACCCGCACTTCGTCTTCATTATTTATTTGTGCACTAGGGTTATCACTAGACCGACATTAAACACTCTGGATATCCGGCGACTTGTCAGGTACTTAAAAAAAATCGCACGGCTGGAAGATGTTGACACCCGCCTCGACAGTTCCTTAGAAACTATGGACGTTACAGTACGTCCGAAACGTCGAGGTAAATAAAATATGTTTTTATACATGATTAAGTCTCGAATTCATAATCAAATAACGTGTGAAAATCGTAAAAGTTTAATCAACATAAATAAAGTTTATTTTTATCTTCAACTCGGTTGTCAATTCAGCATCATAGTTGGCTCGATTAGACATGTGCGCCAATCGTAAAATCGTTGTGATAGTTGTTCGACCGGCAACGGCGCAGCGTAATCGGCGCGATAAATAGGGCGCACTATAAGTTTCCGGAACTGGCCACTTACATAAACAATATATAAAAAGTAATTACAACATTTAAAAATGGAACTCTTTATATGATTATATGAGTAGAATACAGTTTGTTTCATCTGACTGTCACTTGTTTTTACATTGTGGCGTCATTTTAGAAATTGGTTGTCACAATGGATTTAACTCGTGAAAATTTTCGAAGTATGATTTTCTACGACTTTAGGATACAGTTGCAATCAATGGACCAGCGCTTTGAATGAACCACTTCAAAATCTCCTCAATTATTCGTTTTTGAAATTGTACGTTGGTTCGGACTGGTAGCTCTACGAGTATATCCCCCCCGGCCGACCTCTTTCGCGCCTGGACTCTCCCAGGCTTCGTTGAGGGGATGTTCGTCATTGTGTTTCTCGCGCTCCCGTTACAAAATTCACGTGACATATTTTACCATGTAAGTAAATTTCTGTACGGGTTTTTATTGTAATTTTTTTCCATAATGTTACTGGATTATCGGAGGTGCCAATTATTAAATAATATTTTCACTTCTCATGCTCTTAAAGTTTGTATTTATGCTGGGCTTATGCTCTAATGCATAAAATAGGATTTTATCCTCTAGTGCAAAAAATAAAAAACATCACATTAAATATGTCTAATTGTTGTAATTTTACATTCAATTTTAATTAAATATTCGTTTAATTAAATACCGTTTATTTGTAATATTGCTGTTTAATTTCCTCGCAAACGAAGTGAAAAGCAGAGTGTATAACTCGTTCATAAAACCCATTTTTCCCTCGACTTAAGTACCCACTCTCGCCTGCGCCTCGGGTGGATATACTCGTCTCGGGTAAAATGATGCGTTTTATGCACTTGTTGTACAATCTACTATTAATGTAACTTATCACAAATTTTTGTAAATAACTTGTTAGTCAGAAAGCGCCAAATTACCACCAATTGACCAGTGCTCTTTCAGGTCTTTGGTTGGACCGGTCCAATCATGGAAACTTCTTTAAACTTACTTTCATATATATTTTATACGTTTTAGCATGGCATAAAGAAGACAATATTATGCATGGAACGAAAAAAGCATGAAATTATAGGTAAAAAAGAAATGTGCTCGAGTGAGGTAAGCAGAATGTATGGGGTGCCTAAAGCGACCTTAAAACGAAGGTTTGATGATAGAAATGTAAATGATGGTAAATAGTAATATATCATGAATAATATTTTTCAGTTTGTATGTTATGATAGATTTAATGAAGTGTTATGGTACTCCTTTTCAAGTAAGTCAGCCAGCAATCAGCTGGCTAGGTACGGTTGTTGTGGTTATGGTTATAGCTGATCTCAAAGAATATGGTAACTCACAGTTTTATTTAGTTAGATAAACATATTGTTCCTTTGTATTGTTTGTATTTTTCTCATAGTTTCATTATATAAACTGAGATTTGATATTGCGCAGCCAGTTATAAACTTTATTTTCAAATATGTTATCATAGATATTTTTTACTTAATTAAGATTTATTTGCACGAATAATCCCATTTGAGCTTTGCGCTTATTATGACGTAGGGCGCACTATAAGTTATTAAGAAAAATACTTTAAATGGTCATGAATGAATTTATTGTTTCTCAAAATATTCTCCGTTAGTGTTAATAGGTACCCTTTTCATACGAATGAACCAATTTTAAAAACATTTATGCCACTCCTCCGTGACAATCTCTGAAACATATTTTTTATACACTTCGGGTGATGAAAATCGTGGACCGCGTGACTGGTTCTTAATCTTTGGAAATAAATAAAAGTCACAAGGTGCAAGGTCGGGACTGTACGCAGGATGGCTCATAAGGTCAACGTTGTTCACCTTCAAAAATTCATTTTTTTTTTTTCAGTTTCATTTGTCTGTCTGGCCCTGTGAGAACTGGGCATTATCGTGGTGCAAGATCAAACGGCGTTTACGGTTATTTTTACGGAGTTTGTCAATATAGAAAACTACTTCTTTTTTTGTTTAAGAATATATTTTCTTAAAATACAACCAAGAAATTTTGAATTCATTTAAGATTATTTAAAATTGATGTAAGAGGTAAAAATTTCTTGATGTAAGTAATGTCCAATTAATTGATTAGAAATGAAATAAAATCTTGAAGTAAACATATTTGTCTCAAAGTTAGAATAAAGTTAAGAGTAAAATTGTATTAGAAAAAGATAAGCAGTATTTTTGTAATGACAATATTTTATTAGGTACTTTTAATAAAATTTTTTCAGAATTAGCAAATATTTTGAGAAATTGCTCTTTCTTATTAGTAGAAATACTTTTTTTCTGTGTAGGAAATGAAACTATTTTTCCGGATTTAAATCCTGTATATTTGTTATTTCAAACTAACCAACGTGTCGGGACCTTTGTTTAGGTCCCATGGTCACGGTTGACTAAACCGGTTGAGTTTTGTGGAGTGATTTAAATCCGAAAAAATAGTTTCATTACCTTAGAGAATAAACTTAGAGAATGTTTGAAACAAAAATTGTCACATAAAAATTAACACTCTTAATTTAAATCTAGTATGAATATGACGTATATACACAGAAACATTAATTTTAATGTCACGGAAATATTACATTAAACTATATACATATACATACTAAATAATTAAAAAATGCTGGTACTTTAAAAAAATTAAATGATTTTTGCCATGCCAATTTTACGCCGGTCATTTACTTCAGCGGTGGTGGCAAAGCGCACATGTCTAATTCATCTCATAGAAACAATACTTTACGATTTTTAATATGTTAAAGTCTGAAACTACATTCAAGCTCTGTAAATAACATTCATTTAATTAAATATCATACATACCTGTACAACAACAAGTCTGTTACTATCTTCAGCAAAGAGGTTCTTATTGTTTGGTGAATTTGTGTTATCAGACTTCCTTTCAAATGCACTATCAATATTTCTAGTTTTGCGGACCTTCAGAACTTTAAAGATTCTGCCTGTAAATTTATTGTTAAGAATTAAATAAAATTTAAAATACATAATAATGATAATAACCATTTGTTTCAAAATGTAGTATTTTACTCTACAATAATAAATACTCTTTATTGCACAACAATAAACAACAAATAAACACAAAAAAGACAAAACAGTACAACAGGAAGACCTACGTTCAATCACCTTATGATTGCTTTGAACTTTCCATCCATAAAACTACTGGCAACCTTGAGTTGATAAGACTAATTCCAATGTAAACTGAAAAAATTAGATTTTCATGATATTGATTGACTACATCAGAAGTTCCTAAACTTTTTGTTGTGTATTTCACATGCAATTTTATTCTGTTTTATATAGACCTCCTGGCTTGCAAATATGGAATTTTTATATAAATTCATCATCATTCCCTCATTCACATCAGATGTGTTTTAACAGTTGACACAATGCTACTCATTTGATAAGTTTAATTGTATAGTGAGAGACTTTAAAAAAAAACACATTTTACATTTATCTAAACGAATATCTTGTTTGCTGTGAAATGCTATGAATGCTGTGTAATAGGCATTTATGTCCAATGTAAGAAAGTATTATGTATCTAAATACATAGGTACTAACCAGTGTGATGTGGACTGAACATTTTAGGGAAAAAATGTTGACCCAGACCTGTCTAAATGGATTCCAATCTTACAAAACCCCGTTAATGTCTCAAGCACACCCTTTATTTTTTCTTTGACATGGATATCTGTAGGGCCCACATGCCTGCGCCCGAAATGCATGATAGACACAAAGCGCTCGCGCACACTTCTATTTTCACATAGAGAACTCGCGCAAGTCGTGACCTGTTGTGCTAGCCCTACTGGTAGGTTAAGAGTGGGGTTAGATGTAGGCCACTTTAGGAATCAACAGTTTACATGGGTTTGGGAATTACTAGCTAAACCTTCTACAAACTATTCTCCACCAACTTATTGAGAATAATTTCATTAGCTTCATTAGTAATGAGATGTGCATAGCTATGTGTAGTAAGGAAGTCATCACATTTATAAAGGAGGAATTGGCTTGAGCTGGTCACAAAAAGCTTTATGTCCATGCAATAAGAGAGAATAAGAAGTGTCTTATTCTTTAACGAAAGGTGCAGTGGCACCTTTCGTTCCTTTTGTGCCACCAAATAAAATGCACAACTTGTTTTTCATTTTCTCACAGCTTTTTCTAACCAACTTAATACAATTCTGTGTCAATAAGTGTGGCTACTCCCTAAGTTTCACAATCAGTGATTGTGTTTGAACTAAAAACCTACTAAAATGCTAGTGTGCACATAAAGCTATACATACTTATAACAAAAAAATTGTTTATTAATCTATTATGACATTGATGGTTGAATTTTCAATATAATGTAATAACAGTACAAAATTTTTGATTTAAGTCTTCAGTGTAAAGTCCTTCAGTTTAAGTAAAAGAGAATCTAATGATTAGGCAGTATGGTCTCTAACCTGTGCCTGTTCCATGCAGAATGAAGGAAAATAATTTAATAACAATTGAGGTTTTTTTTCACGAACATATTAAGTTTACTCTTCTAAATTAACCACAGCCATCAATCTCATAAGGTTAAAGAGTATATACCTTTTGTAGACCTTCTTGTAGAAGATCTTTTGAAATTGTTTCTCAATTTGAAAGCTTCACAGCTCTCAAGCAGTGGTACCTTCGTTACATCGTTAGAATTACTGTTAACCTTCACTTTGATGAACATCAATTCACCATCCTCCCCAACATCTGAATCCCATTCAGGTACAGAACTAAAGCCATAAAATATTGTGTGAAATTAATTGCATTAAATGCAATTATGAGTAAATAAAACATTATGTTAGCCATCTATTTTATATACAAATATATTCAGTAAAGTTTAAAACTAGTAAAAAAGTAACTGTACATACCTTTCAGAGTCGGAATATTTCGAGTCGTCAGTAGAGTCCGTCCAGTCGTTATCAGAGTCACAAGGACTGTCATAGCTCACTTTAGCTCTAAAATCATTCATGTTCGCATTCACAAAATGTACATATTTAGCATAGGACTGTAGTAAAACAAGTAACTTGTTCTAAACTATTTTAATGTGCTATAATATCAGCAAAACAAATAGACAAATAGGTAAACAAAAAGTTGAAACGTCAATCGTCAAATTGTCAAGTTTAAAAAAATTGTTTCATAGCCTTGGATTCAGGTCCTTAAGATGTGTTAATTAATAAAGTCTGTGGTGAGGGTTTGTAATTTATCTATGCTTGTTAAGGTGGATTTACAATACACAAACTCTGACAATATATTGCCATTATATATATATATATATATATATATATATATATATATATTATCGGATCGGTGTAAACTGTTGGGTAATTTTCCGAAAATTTCCAAATATTGGAAATTTTCCAATCGTATTCCAAATATTGGACATTTTTCCGTAAAATTTCCCGAAAAATTGGAAAAATATAATTTGGAAGGCACATATTATGTTCTACGTGTAGAATCTTTTGAAGTTTTATTTAGCATGACTTATAAAATAAACTTGTATATCTAAAACCCAGTTAATAGAAAAACGAGATTTAAAATAAATTCATAACAGCGAAAAACCTCCAACAATCATACCACCACCACTTGTGGTTGGCTCAATCATTTTCGTTCAGTAACTTCAACTTTTGACAGGTGTCAACGTCAAATGTGGAAAAATAAAGAGAAATTATCCCGAAAAATATTTAATTTCTGAAATATATTTTTTTTTCACAATGGAAATTTTTCCATGACCCAGTGTATTTCATGTTTGAAACAAAGGTCTCTCATATTTTAATTTTTCTGACGTATTATAAACAATGTATAGATATAATTTGGAAGGCACATATTATGTTCTACGTGTAGAATCTTTTGAAGTTTTATTTAGCATGACTTATAAAATAAACTTGTATATCTAAAACCCAGTTAATAGAAAAACGAGATTTAAAATAAATTCATAACAGCGAAAAACCTCCAACAATCATACCACCACCACTTGTGGTTGGCTCAATCATTTTCGTTCAGTAACTTCAACTTTTGACAGGTGTCAACGTCAAATGTGGAAAAATAAAGAGAAATTATCCCTTGCTCCTATTTTAGTTTTGAGAATTAGATTTTATATTTATTTTATATTTTATGTTAATTTGATTGTCTTTAAAACGGGAAAACTGGTTTGAAGGCTTAAAGCTTGATTCACAATGCACAAATTCTGGCAATGTATATTGTCGCAATTTATTGCGTATTACCTTAAATTGACCAATGAGCTTACCTCCTTATTGGTCAACTCAAGGTCTTATCTATATGAACTGCGGCAATTTATTGCCAGAATTTGTTCATTGTGAATCCACCTTAACTCTTAAAGTACTTTTTGGCTTAACTACTAAGGGGCCCATTCATTATCCTGCATTGCAGTTCACCTAGCCATTCGCCACGTATGGCATGGCAGTCCGCCGAGCAGGCACGAGACTGCTCACAAACTATCCTGCGTATGGCCCACGTATAGAGTATCGCAGGACACATTGCAGGATTGTAGGATGGGTTGCACGCTGCGACTACATTCATAATCCTGCTTTAAGCGGCGGACGGCAAGGCGGACTGCAATGCAGGATCATGAATGCCCCCTTTTATTATCAATGCAAGCCATCCCGCAATGCCAAGCAGGGTACCACTGCGTCCTGCGAGACACCAGCAAGCTCCACTCACGCTAACAGTCCGCCGCGCAAGTAGTCCTAAGTAGATCGACGTCCTGCGTAATGAACTGCTGTTTTGAACGCAAAGGAGTGAATGTTGTTGTTGCCAGACGCAATCATAGACAAACACCGTACCAGTACCTTGCCGTAATCGTAAGTTCTTCCTGTAGCCAACAGTCTCAATGTGGCTATCTTTCTAATATGTGGTGGCTATAAATCTTTGGACCCTGCAACTTTGGTGCTTTGCTTTGTTATTTTTTGTTTTAAAAGTGTTAAGTAACAAAAATTGAAAAGTGTCTTTATTCATCCTCAAATAGTTTTGGTAATCATCAGGATTAATTTCTTTCAACAACTTTCTCATCACAGGCACAATCACAACTTCTCTTACGAACAGCAATTCCCTTTTTTTGACATTGAGCGTAAATTTGGCATATTGTGTGAGCAGTCTCCTGTCTGGGCTTCGGCCTGCTATGTTGGTAGTGAATAGGCCACCTGTGTGGGCCACTTAAATGGCTATAGTTTCGTCCTGAAATATAAAAATGTTGGAGAAGAAAAAAAATGGTCGTTCAAGAAGTATGACACCAAATTCAAAATTTTTGAAAAATACTACATTCTTCATATTATTATTATTATTTTCTTAATTTGTCAATAGAGATGTAAAGAATTGTATATAAAGTGCCAAGAATGACGAAGTTATCGGAAAACTATCCTAAGTCGCCCTGTAACCGATCATCTAGTATGAACAATTTAAAGAACATGGAAAGTTAAATATTTAACAAAATTAAAACAATGATATCTTCAAACACACGATGATATTGTTTGCATATTGTGAATGATTGGTATGAAAAATTGGTATTGACCATTCTAAAACGACTATTTCATTTAGAAAAGAATGGAAATGTACGTACCAACTTGCATAAAGATGCAAATCTAGTAATAGGTGCGGTAACTAGCTGTGTAAACATCGCTCTGGGCAGTTTGCACAAAATGTACCGCGGTAAATTGGTGGGTACTCATTTTAATACTAATTACTGATTCTTTGCTTTCACCCATTTTTGTTTTATAATATTTCTTGGGTCTTTGTAAGACCATTAGTCGTTATTAATGACTCAATGCATTACAAATACCTACGCAAAGCAGGCAACACGTAGTGAACGTTGAGACTGTGACGATATTATGTTATAGGTATAAATTCATTTTGATTACATTAGATACAACACTACATTTTTGATCACAATCTAATCAATTGGCACCAGTGTTCGAGCTAATCGTTTTTTCCATCAACAAAAACTATCACTTTTCATCACATATCACACACAGTCCCTTATACCTACTCTACAATTTCATATTAGTTGAACAGGAATGTACAGTCAAGAGCGCGTCAAGCTTGACACTTAGTACTTTGGACCGTTCTTATCGTAAGCGGCATAGAGTTGGATTTAAATCTTAAGTGTCAAGCTAGACGTGCTCTTGACTGTAACCTACTTAGTTAAGTGGATCCGACATATTTTAATATTATAATTTTCAGGATGACCTAATGGAGTTACAGGATACAACAAGGAAAATATTATTAGTATTAGAAAGTATACAATCAAAAATATTTTGCAAAGAAAATATTGAAGATGACTTGCCCAACCTCACAAATGTGCTCAATAAACAGAAATCACAAATAACTCCTGTAAGTTATTAACCGACTTCAAAAAAGGAGGAGGTTCTCAATCGACGGTATTTTTATTTTATGTAATAGTAAGTTACGCGATTACTCCGGCATTTGCGAACCGATTTTGATGATTATTTTTTTGTTGGAAAGAGGGTACCTCAATATTGAGTGCGGCCATTTGAATTTGAAGAAAATATTCCATCTCTATGGGTTCCAAACTAGGGGATGAATCCGGTAAAACCGATTCCAATAAAACTTGGCAAGTAAACAAGCCGATAAGTAAACTTATGAGGTGTTTTTTTTACTAAAAGTTATTATAATTTATTATAAGATAAACTTTTTCAAAATATGTTATTTTATTGTACGCAAAACTTTTTTGTACTTAATTAATTACAAAAGATTTAATTTTACCATAATTCGACAGTATATTCTTTTCAATGTATAGCTATATCAGCTATAACCTCCTAAAACACCCCGTGAACTACATCAAAATGTAAATAGTGAACAAACCTGCGGGCATTCTTGGTTGAGCCTGTAGCAGTTATTTTTTATGTCGAGCGTTCATGGTTTAGCTTGTTATAGTTTGCTGTGTCTTAGAAGGTTAATAATACATCCTTGTGTCCCATTGCTGGGCATAGGTTTTTTTTTAAGGGAATGGTTCAGATCATAGTTCACTACGCCAGGGCTCCGCAGTGCCTACCGCTAAGTGTGCCGACGATCTGAATGATCGTACGGCATGTTTCGTAAGAAAAATGTCGAAACGCGTAATTGTTGTTTTTTTTTGAATAATATCACGTGACGGGACGAACAAGTCGTGCGCCTGATGATAAGCTACACGCCTGTCCATAACACTCAGAGCTCTAAAACGCAAAGATCTGAGGGGCACTGCCGCTACACCCGTCACCCTGAGACATAACGACACCAGAAGTATCAATTAATGTAAGGGACAAACCATGACTTTTCAAGAAAGCCAAAAAACGTTTTTTTAATGTCTATTATAACTTTTTACTGTCTGCTCCAATTTTGATTGTACCTAAAGCAAAGTTTCTTAGAATGTTCTCTTCTTTCATGTCATAAACAAAAGATTTAGGAATGCCCAGTGATTTAAAATATAGCATGTCCCTTACATTACTAAAAGATGTTTAGTTGTGCCTTACGTTACTAATATTTTATGTGTAAATCGTCGATCATTGTGTGGTGGCAGGACTTTCACAAGGACCTCTACTGCTACTAATTATTGTTCAGTGGAAGGGTGTAAAAATGGGAAACCTGACAATAAATTCTAATTTCTTTTCACGGTGTTTTTATAAATGTAAACATTTCAAGTTTTTAATTTTTAATTTATTCGATCATACTTGTTATTATATGTATGTATACATAACGAAATTTTTTCCGTTGATGCTTTTTTGTTTTCAGCTCACTTCAATAACTGATATTGTGGATGCAGTAGCCGTTAAAAATTTAGAAGATCAGACAAAACATTTAGATGGTATTTACATAGAGGTAAAGTTTACTAAATACATACTAGCTTCTACTCGCGATTTTGTTCACTTTCAGTGTTAGAGCACCTTAAAATTAGACGCTTCTAGCGCTGCAGCGGCGCGACCTCCGCGTATTACGTCTACCTTCACTAACTGAACTAAAGTTTTCATGTATGATAAAATCATAGAATGAAAGTGGTAAATTGACACAAAGTTTAAAAAAACTTTTTTTTTTAGAGCGAAGACAATGACTGTTCCGTGTACAAAAGATTGACGAGAAAATGCAATTGCATGAATCGACCGGAATTTAATGATTTTACAATACATTTTAATGCAACCGCGAAATATAGCACTAACAACCTCGGCGAGATAATCAAGAACATACGCATTTTGAAAAAGTTTATTTATATAGGCGGAAAGTATAGTGAAAATGCATTTAAATTTTTGATTGAAGTGAGTGATGTCTATTTACTACCTACTAGGTTCAGTTTATTTACAAATTAAATGCGATACAATAATATGCTCATAGTCGGCTACATTAGTAAACCTCGTAACCTCCATTAATGTGATTTTTTGAGTAGGCACAAAGTCATAATTACTAGAAACAATTATAAGATAATCTATGATTACACCGTTATTTCATAACTAAGAATGGGTATACATTTATATTATATTATATTATATTTAAGGCTATTGCGCTTTAAGAGTCAATGCAACCTCAAATGGTTTTGGTTGATTCCGCATAACAGTGAAAGTGTTAAATGAAAAAAACACAGACTTACCTCAAAATTTTACAAGAAAACCGCTGTATTCAATAGTTATTTTACATATACCAATTATTTTTTTTATATCAACTGAACTAAATAGAACACGTATAGTACCTGTACGATGTACGTTTTTCAAATGGCTTTAATTTCGTGTGTAAAAAAGAAATTCTGAAATAAATAAGCTCCCTGTCCCTGCCGCTCGAGCTGAAGTGGTATGAAATCTTCAGAAAAAAAGGAATTCGTCCAAAACTGGAGTTACGAGGTTTTCAAATATAGCCGACGTCATACCCCTACCCAGCAGTGCGACGTATAGGTTGATAATGATGTAAAGTAGTTGCTAATTCCATATCAAAAATATAGAACAAAATACCATACGATAATTCCGAGATTTCAGGGGAAGGTACTATCCACTCTATGCCTAATAAGTACAGTCACGAGCACGTCAAGCTTGACGTTTAAGATTTAAATTCAACTCTATGCTATGCCGCTTATGATAAGAACGGTCCAAAGTACAAAGTGTCAACCTTGACGTACTCTTGACTGTACTTCTTAAAAGTTTGGGTCACAATAGCAATAGTATTACAATATCTTACCAATAACTGTAATAATATTCCGCCTATTCCGATCTGTCGTGCGTAGCGTTTAAAAAAAATTCAAATTATACACTGTCGCAGGGCTTTACAAAATGTGTTTACGCGGAGAAGGCTGACATTGCCCAAGCTTGTTCCCATGCGGATATCTGCAACATTTTCGAGAACGAATCTATAGTCACGCACTGCTTAATACTGCCCTTCAAGTACTCATCTTATGGAGATTCTGCAATTCAGGTTTGCATTATAAGTATTTTATTGTACCTAATAATTGAACTAAATTGTTTATGGGTAGAATAGAATCATTATTCCATGTTTTCACAAGACACAACGCAGATTATTTAATAATTTCAACCACATCGAGCATTGTAAGCGCTCGTTCCGGGTTCGACACCCGGTAAGATCAATTTAGGAAATGAACTGGTTTGGGATACTGGGTAATGCTTCGAAATTAATTTCCTTGATTTGCTTAGGTATAATAGATACAGAAAACTCCTTGTTTGAGACCAGTAATTATAATGGTTGTCTGGAGCATCGTTTTATTAAAGGACAATTCGAACGTCACTAAATTAGACAAAACAATTTATAAAAATAAATTATCTTTAAATTTTAAATATAAAATATTGTTCAAATACAACAATGTCCAATAAAAAAAATTAATTATATCCCATATAAAGGGAACGGTGTTGATTTGTGTACGAAATTAATGGGAATAAATATAAAACATTAAATTTATTCCCAACGTATGGAATTTCCGGGTTGCAGTAGTTCCACATGAAACTACTGGGAATAAATGAGAAAGCTTCATACAATGTATTATGTTTTACTTTTTATTTTTGTTTTAGCAATTGACATCTAAATTCATTCTGAACCTCGTACGAGTTGAGGAAGGAAGACGCTACCTAAATTTAAATTCAAAAATTGCAAACGACATCAAATATACGTTGACGAGGAAAAAGAAACAACTGGACAATTCAACTGTTAATTACCTAAACGACATTTTGAATCTCCTCAATCCACGTTTGGATAGAAACATAAACGTAACTTACTATTTCAAAGCAGAAGAAGGTAATTTGCCACTACAAATTCAACTTAATACAGTCCGAAATAATAAGGGTAATCATATAAAACCAAAGAATTCAATAAGACAAACGGTCGAAGTTACAAATAAAAAAATAACTTACCTTAATCGGCATAAGGTAAGCTATGCCTACTATGTTACAAAGATTTTTCTAAATACATATCGATGCGTCCTATAATTAAAATGAACTATTGATGTTTCACCTTCTTTGTCGCCTGCTTAGTATAGTCAGCCAGCAGGCGGCGGACTGACAGAATGTCTATTTTGGTTTGTCTTTTGTTTTGGATTTTTAACCGACTTTAAAAAAGGAGGAGGTTCTCAATTCGACTGTATGTTTTTTTTGTATGTATGTTACGCGATTGCTCCGGTATTTGTGAACCGATTTTCATGGTTCTTTTTTTGTTCGAAAGAGGGTACCTCCATGATGGTCCGATTTCATTTTGAAGAAAATCATCTACCTCTAAGGTGGCTATTCACGCATGAAGATTCATTGTTATAAATAGCGCCTAAATTTTATTATAAGGAGCAATTATTTTAATGGTTTATTTTGCTATTCTCCAATTCAAGGTGTTTTTCTCTCTCAATATACTTTGAGCAGTGAGAGCCGATTTTTATTATCTCCTGTGTGAAGTCCCGTATAGTGGCGAACTAGGGGATGAATCCGGGTTTGCGCACTTTCCGGTAACCGATTTCAATAAAACTTGGTAATTATATGTAATTTCACGTACTTTTGAGATCGGATTTTTATATTTCGTTTTATTGAGATGAAATAGAGCGGTTTGAATTCTGAAAATTGACAGGAGTTTTAAGAATAAAATATCAACGTTTTGTTTTTAGGCTGTGCAAACAGAGTAATTAATGGATTAGTACATTTCCGGCGGTATATGACAGTACAAGAAATTTATGACAATTTAGACCTATTAATTCAAATAAGCGAAAGCGATACTGGTAAACGTGATCTGAGACAATTTTTACCTAGTCTGTTGAATATGTTTAAACACCTGCTTGTAGAATGTGATAGTAACCTCATTAATACCGCTGTTGTTACTATTTTGACCAATGTTACAAAGAAGACACTGGAATCTGCTACTTCAAAACTTAATGAGCTCTCCCCACAGACGCCCTTGCTTGTGGCTGATGTATGCACTGAGGTAATGAAAATTCTATGTATAAATAATAGCTGTAGAAACAGTAGTGGTTAACACATACCTGCTAAAGATAAACAAAAAAAAGAGTTCTTAGGTTTTCGCGATTGTTCCACATAGGAAATGAAACTATTTTTCCGGATTTAAATCGCGTATATTTGTTTTTTCAAACAAACCGACGACGTTGCGGGCCCTTTACACGTCCCATGGTCACGGTTGACTGAGGTTAGTCAAAGAGAATATTTGTATCAGTTAGCAATCGTTCTGTTTCAGCCTATACAAATGAAATCACAATGCAACCAGGTGCCATCACTAAAAGCCATAAAAAAACCAAAATCCAAGCAGCGGCGAAGCAGGTAAACAGTAATAAAAAGAGACTTATTCTTCTGAGGAAGACTTATTATAACTCATACTGTACGTTTATATAGTTAAAACATCTGAATATTTTTTCTATATTCTTATTTATAATTATATATTATATTATATATACTGTTTTATAATGATTAAATTAATAAATAGCAGCTAAGCTGAACTAATACATTGTATATATATAAATATATAATTTATCCCGTTTGAGTCTGAATATATTTAAATACTGAATATATTTAAGTACTCGTAATGGAGTTACGAAAACGCTCAAATTACAAAACAATAGGCAAATGGAGCGCGCCGAACATAAAAGTGAAGCCACCAAAGCAAATACAAATTCAAAAGCGAATACAAACTCGCGTCGGTATACAGAACAGCGTCGCACTGCTTGCAAGTCACGAGTGATTAGTTATTTTATGTTTAAAAATGCCGTCTTGTGTCTTTAAACATCGTAAAAGTTGTTCCCAAAAACAAAAAAATAATATGGAATATCTTTTCACAGGGAACTATTGTTAATTTAACTGTTTTGTAATTTCTTTTCCCGATATTTTTTGAGATTCACTCGGAACACAAAACTTCGACATAAATTCGTATGTGTTGCCAGTTTTATATCGAAATGAGTTTCCTTAAATTAGGTAAATATGCATGGGTGATAAGAGCATGAAATAATTTATACTTTTGTATTGAAATTAAATAATACATACATATACACACAAAATGGTCCAATTACAGCGATCCAAAAATGTTGTTTAGGTAACTCAGATTTACCTAAACTATTCTCAAACCAATCTCTAATCGCCATAATGTATTTGGTATTGGTATTGGTGCAACGGGCTAGTTTCCGCAACTCGACGTCGAGGCGCCTATTTTGCGCCATAATGTAACTACATAAAAGAAATTATTCAAAAACAGCTAAAATTTTCTTATTTTTAAAACTTTCATTGTTATTGTGCACATGTCATAAGCAGAGTGATTTTGTAACAAAACGTGTCAATAAAATAAAAAAATATAATAATGTATACACATGACTTCACAGGTCCTAAAGAGTTTCATTGGGAACCTAATATTTTTTGTCAAATTAGAACATAGTCGTCAATGCTATGGAATTGATTACAAATTTAATTTAATAAATAATTTAATACAAAAGTATTTGATGGCGAGATTGCGCTACATATCAAAATTAGCTATAAACATAATAAAAATAACATAATAAAATGCTCGATGTATAGACACGAAACGGTAGTTTTATAAAAAATGTGTACAATTAAGATAATATTTTAATTGTACACATTTTTTGTAATACTACCGTTTCGATTGTATAACTATGATTGTAATAAATATTTTGAACTGTCAAAGTTTTCCAATTTAAAATATCTTAATAAAATATTATTTTTTTTTTGTGTGATGTAATCAAGTAATATTGATTTACATCACACACAGGAAAAATTATTTTATTAAGAAATTTTAAAATTGAAAAATTTTGATAATTCTAAATATTTATAATAATCACAGTTACACAATGTCTTAGTAACTTTAATTTTGTACACGTTTCTATAATACTACTGTTTCGTGTCTATACATCGAGCATTCGTTTCTGATTTTGATATGTAGTGCAATCGCACCATCAAATACTATTAATAAATAATTAGACAAAAATTGTTTAGTTCCCAATGAAACTCTTTAGAACTTGTGAAGTTATGTTTATAATATTATAATTTGTGTTTATTATAATATTTTTTTATTTTATTGACACGATTTCTTTTAAAATCATTCTGTTTATGACATGTGCACACAACAATGAAAGTTCTCTGTATCTATCGGGCAACATTTTCTTTCGTGTACGTAATGGCTATTAGACATTGGTTTGAGAATAATTTAGGTAAATTTGAGTTACCTGAAAAACAAATTTGGACCGCTGTAAATGGCTCAGCCTATATGAATATGCATGCATTATTTAATTTCTATACAAAAGTATAAATTAATCAATGGTCTAGAGAGGTCTAATCAAAGGGGCTATCTCCCATGCATATTTACCAAATTTTAAGGAGACCTATCGATATAAACTGGCAACATATGCGGATTTATGCCCAGGTTTTGTGTTCCGAGTGAATCTCAAAAAATATTGAGTAAATAAATTACAAAGCAAACAGTTAAATAATCAATAGTTCCCTGTGAAAAGATATTGCATCTTATTATTTGTTTTTGGAAACAACTTTTACTATGTTTAGTGCGGCAATACGCGTCCGATTTCGTGTCTGATGGTCGGAACCGACTATCGGATCGGATTCACCTCATACACGTTAGGAATGGGCGTTACAAATCGTATATAGTTATTGAAACTATATATTGTGGAAATATCGAAAATCCGATATCGTATATCTTAGAAACTATATATCGATATTACTCCGCATCGCGTATTTTATAGCGATGCCGAATCAAGCCGAGCGATTACCAAGTGGATACCAATACGAAATCATATATTTTCCAAGCTATATACCAATATTGCTTCGTATCAGATTTTCACTATATAAAAAACTGTATTTTTACTGTATATTCACTGAGTGGATATCAACGCGAAACCTTTTTTTGTGCGTCTTCGAAACTGTATACTAACATTGGCCCGCATTACTCTTGTAGAACTATATCTAATAACTAATAATATATAGTTTCGAAATCCGATTTCGAATATTGATATTTAGTTTCTATACGATATTCAGAAAAAGCTATATTACACATTATTCTTAATACACGTCCGATGCTTACGTCAGACTTTTCTGAACTAACTGCGTGTTGCCAATTTATGGGGAATTCCCTAAATACAGGGAATTTCAACTCAACAACTCGTTTTGGGGATTTTGTTTGGATTATGCTATGTGGGGAAAATGCCTTCGCATTCTAGAATTTTATATTTTGTTGATTAGGATCACTTTGTCTTGAATTGTAAAATTACTACTATTATGTGACCCTTCCTCGTTTTGACCGGTCACCCACCGGTGTGAAAAAAGAATACAACAATTGCCGAACAAAGCCGAGCAGTAGGTATTTTTAAGTACTATCCACACACATCAGGGCCGTACCCGGGACGTGGACGAGTGTGAACGAGTTCATACAAAATATACGCAACGATATTCTTTTGAGCCTTGACGGAGCACGGCCCGTCCACGTCCCGGGCACGTATGGATAGACCTTAATACCACAACTTGCCACTCATCAAGCTTAATTAGTAAGGTTTAAACTTAATTCAACTTGTTGAGTTTATTTCTAATTATAACATAACGTATGTTTAATAGATGGGTACATTTTGACTTTCTTAATTATTTGATATATTTTTAAGCGTAACAATAATAATATAATAAATACTGAGAATGAATAAATATTATTACATATAGGAAATATGACCTTTGCTCTCCCAAAATTTATAATCTTGACTTTTGGGAAATATTAATAATTTGCATTGGCGACGCTGCAAATCGGAGGTAAGAATCGGACATGTATTTCGTCTCCCCGCAAAAGTATAGAGAGCGCGCCTTCAGACAATCGGATCGGTAATAAAATCGGACGCTATTTCCGACTCGGACGCCACGTCATGTTCGTCGTGTATTGAGTGTTCATACAATTATATGGTTCTAGCGCCTTCCGGTAGTCGGATCAGACTATCGGATGGAAAAAACGGACGTGTATTGTCGCACTTAAAGAGACAAAATGGCATTTTCAAACATAAAATAAATTATCACTCGTGACGTGCAAACAATACGACGTTGTGCTTAGTATTGTCGCTTTTGAATTTGTATTTGCTTTGGTGGCTTCACTTTTCGTGTTCGGCGCGCTCCCTCTGCCTATATTTTGTAATCTGAGGGATCGGCTCTAATTATTTTTTTTTCAATTTAAGAATTTTTGAGGATCTTTTTGTAACTCAATCTTTATGAATTGTACTTTAACGCACAAAATTATCGGCTTCGTAATGTCAATGGAAACTACGAACCTAAATTCGCGTTCGAGCGAGTCAGACTTAATTTCAACTGCAAGTTAAAAATCTAAGCAGGTAACTCCACAGTTCCTGGGTAACTTTAAAAGCTGCGCTAGACTCTTAAGCTTTCATGTTAATACAAAAAAGTAGTAACTACATAACAAGCCATTATTCGGCCTTCAAAGAGAGGGAACGAGGAGGACGTGCTCTCCACCACGCTCTTGCTGCACACCTCCACGCGCCTTTCCTCGGGCACATAGGTTCGGTGCGGAAAATGATGGCCTGGTCCCCCCAAGGCCGTCATTGAGCGCCATGACTGTGGCAGACTTTGATCTAATCGCCGCAGTCTGGACACTCGTTCCCGGTTGTGTTGCTTTGATCAGGACAGCGGGTCCTGTCCGGATACAACCAGTCTCCCGTCCACGATTCTGGGCCAATGGTCCTGGAACCGCTGTCGTGGTGGCTCCTACACCTCTCCCGTGGTCCGTAGAAGACGGACCATGTGCAAACTCTTGCGCTGAGGCTCTGGTTTTGTAGCCGAGACACTCCGCGCGGAGCCGCCGTTGACTGTACCTTCCCGACCCCTTGATCTTAAACGTAACCTTTTTAAGACCAAGGTGTGCCCGACAATTTGAAGCCCGAAGACTCTCCACAGATGGGTCATCAAGAGCGAACACGACTATCCATGCGTTCGCATCTTTCCTATTGTGGAGAGTCTTCCATACTTCTGTGCGACTTCATCTATTTTTGGCCCCCAGTAGACTGACAGCCATTGGCACCGACGCACACCCTTTTTTAGAATGTAAGTGGTGGCTTAGGAAGCTCGCTTTCCTTAATTGTGAATAGCTGAGCTTCCGGCCACGGCTTAAGGTTGTTAATATTTCCTTCAAGCCAGTTTGCATTCTCTTGATCCCTGCAGGTCACAAGAATCCAGTCTGAGACGCCCAGGAACTTTAGTCCCTCGCCATGCGATGTTGTACTCGCAATGGTGCGGACCAGAAAAAGCTCAACCAGTTCCTTTTGCTCCTGGAAAGTACGTTCCGAATTCCAGCTACCCACAGACAGGGTCCTCGCCATTTCGCTAAAATTGGTCTATCGCCGCTTTCAGCTGGCGGGATGGTCCTGGGAGCTTTTCTAACGAGTCCCTGGGGGGACGCCTCCTCTGATCGATCGCGCTTTTGCGCTTTCGGTTGTGTCTCCCTCCACGTCTCACGAGAAACTAGGGAATTAAAAGGTCACAGCTGGCAAAGCCCAGCTTGCCAGCTGAAAAATTCCCCCTGGTATCGGGGGTGGACCGTTAGCGGCTGGGCTCTCCCCCAGTCACGCATCCATAGGCACGGTACGCTAACACCTTCGGATTTAGTGACGACAATTTAGTGTCTTCAGGAATGGAAGCCACTCGCTCGTATAGAGGTACTTCCAGGAAGGAGGAGGGACATCCTGACATGCCATTCAGTAGCCTTCTAGAATTAGAATACTGGCAGCTTTTTGGTTAAAGAATAAGTTATCCTGGGCACAATGACCCAGGTATCTTGGTGAAATTTTGACTAAAACCGCTTAGGTACCATTTTGTCTTCAGCATATTTTGTAATAATATTTCTATTATTTAATGCTATATATGAGCTTCCCTAACGGCCCTTCTCAGGGCCATCAGAACAGCCTTTGCCAAGGCTCAGACCTCATGAGGGACATCTCCACTCTCAGAACCTGCGTTCTTGTCCCGCTTGCCCTTGTACCTGAACATGCGAGAACCTGTACATCGCCACTGATAATGCTGTGTCAGTGAGTACTGGTCCTCCCAAATATAAACGTCAGATTCAACATGCGAACAAGATATGAATACTTATTTGTTGTTAAATCTATTCTATCTAAACTTTTTTAATATACTTTTATTCATTTTTCAGATTGTAATGTGGTGCCATTAAATCATCACAAAGGAAATAAAACAATTTGTTTATTAGCAACAATGCTATGTAAATTTAATATAAAAATGTTTAAGAATAAATACTATCTTACAACCACAAAAAGCTAGAAAATACATCTTAATGTATAACATATACAAATGAAAACATCTACATATAAAATTAAAGAATAAAATGCAGTACACCTTCAAAATATAAAATGCAAATAATTTAATTACTGTTTCACTGTATACCATGCACACCTCATAATTATATTTGTTTAATAAAATTTACATGAACTCTCTAAAATAATTGTAAAGCAGTAATTCTCATTAGGAATGATAATGTAGTATGTACTAAAAAAATGCAATAGCTATGTACTTTGTTTCTAAAGATGAGATAAAGCTTTGGTATCAGCTTTGTAGAATGTTAAAAAGAACTTCAATCAAAAGATTTAGGGTCAAAATGTTCATTATATGTAACAGAAGGTCGCCGATTTTGTTCATATGTTAAAGGTCTTCTGGTGGGTGCGGGGACACCAGAATTGCTTGGTTTAAAAATCATAGCCACAAGAATGTAAAATCCACCAACTATTTTACTCATGAAATCCAAGAAGCCAAGCAACAGTGGTGTAGAATTTTTCACAAAAAATGACATCTCTCTTATCAAAGCTAAAACAAAATTACCCAAAAAGTTTATAAAGGCCGTGCTTCCAGTAAAAACAGCTATCACCAAAGCACATATAAACGTTAAGAATTCCTTCACATTTCTTATTGACAATGCACTTTTTAGAGTTGCTATTATTTCACTATATGACTCACTAAGAGCCACTTTGCTCTCAGTAGTAGATGACTTATGGACAGGAGCCTTTGTTGTTGATCCAGTGAGAATAGGCTCTAATTCCAGATAAGCTTCAGTAATATATCTAATGCATTTTAGTGTTAGAATGATTTCACCATCTCTAAACTTTATACTTCTGATTTGGAACCAGTAAGCCCCAAAGGGTTGGTTATCAATTTCTGTCCACAAACATATGCCAGAATATCCGATCGACGCACCATCTGTGATACCAATCCATTGTATTATAGGGAACACTGAATGCAAGTAATGTTGCGCCTCTAGCAAGTCCTTCTTCAACTCCTGTTCTGCAGCACTCAAAAGGACTATGTCTCGATATCCAATTCGCTCATCCACTAACCTTCTCTCCAAATATCGGCCTAAAAATATACGGGACTTCAGTAAATCTTTCACATGGTTTTTCACCTTTGTCGTTTCCATATCGTCACTGTTGTCTGTATTATATGACGTTGAAGTCGTATTTAAAGATAAACTTTGCCTGCCGACACTCATTACTGCGAATAAATTATGAAAAGGAGCAAAAAATATAAGCAAAACAAACAATCGTGAAAATCGAAGGATTTTCCGATGCAAACGTCAAAGTGACGTTTTTTTTTATTGACTCTGGCTGGCCATCAGCCTTGCATTTAGAGGATGGAAAAAAATAAAGAAATGTCTAAAGGTCTACTATCCACACGTATCCGGACCGTGCCCGGAACGTGGACGGGCCATGCTATAGGCCTGTATAGTTCATGAACTACGGACTATACTATTAGAAATATGTTCCCTACACTGACCGACATGAACTAGTTCGTCTTGCACGGTTTTAATAGTCGTCGTTCTTTTTAGTTCAGTACAAACTAGGAACTGTCTACGTTGATAGTTCTCCTGTCTTTTATACAGTAGGAACGGAGCGAGCGGGACAAATAGCGATCTTTCACTACTTTTAGTACAAGTTCAAGTGGGATGCACGATTAAACGTTCCCAGCTCGTTCTAAGTCTCTAATATGTATATACATTATATATATACAAGCTTGCTAAAAAGTGATATTTTTATTGGTAGGTATCTGTATGTATAATATCAACTTACGTGTACGAGTTTAGGAAATAGTTGTACCTAAATATTGATTTTTAACCATTCTAACTTATTTTGTAAAAACAAGGATATTTCGTTAGAATGACAGTTTTTAAACCCTAAAATATGGATGAAAATCAAATAGTACCGATTCCATATAAATTGTATTTTAAAAAATTTAGTACTGTGTAGTATTGACCTCATAGTACGTACTAGGAGTCCGTAGTAGTTCATGTGAGTAAAATTACTAGTTTGGAGTGTTAGTTCAATGTTCGAGCAAGGACAAGACGAACTAACTAACTAAGGAACTAGATGAACTAAAAGACCGACCTAGTTCAGTTGACCCATTGAACTAACTGGGATCGCTCCCGCTAAGGACCGATCAGGCACAAGTCTACCGTACTCCGTCAGGGGCTCAAAAAATAACTTTGCGTATATTTTGTATGAACTCGTTCACACATGTCCGTGTCCGGGCCGGCGCCGGGACGGGCCCGCAGTTCATACAAACTAGCACGCCCCGTCTAAGTCCTGGGCACGGCCCTGATATATGTGGATAGTCCTTAAGGCCTTGCATCAGCCTAAACGTGACAAAGTGACAAACCGCGCCTTAAGTTTTCGTTACTGTTGGGTAATTTTCCGAAAAATTTGAAATGAGTGAATTTTTTCCGAAAAATTTCACGAAAAATTGAAAAATTTGAAAAATTGGAAAAATATAATTTGGAAGGCTGCTATTATAAAGTTCTACGTTTAGAAATATCTTTTTAACCGACTTTAAGAAAGGAGGAGGTTCTCAATTCGACTATATGTTTTTTTTTGGATGTATGTTACGCGATAACTCCGGTATTACACTATTTGTGAAGCGATTTTCATGATTCTTTTTTGTTGGAAAGTGGGTACTGCCATAGTGGTCCCATTTCACTTTGAAGAAAATCGTCCACCTCGAAGGGTGGCTGTTCACGCATGAAGATTCATTTTTCTAAATAGCGCCTAACTTTAATTTAGGGGCAATTATTTTAATGGTTGATTTTGCTATTTCTCCAATTTAAGGCGTTTTTCTCTCAATATATATACTTTGAGTACTGAGAACCGATTTTTATTATCTCCAGTGTCAAGTCCTGTATAGTGGCGAACTAGGGGATATTTCAATAAAACTTTGCAAATAGACGTAATTCCACGTACTTTTGAGTCGGTTTTTTTAGTACTCTGTACTGAGATTATCAGAATTTTGTTTCTCTGAAAACCTTTAGATTTTTATTGAATACATTTTGTTTCATTTGTTCGAAAACACGTTACGGGTTTTTTCATTACACCATTTTATGTTTCACTGTTTTGATATATTGACAAGTTATTCTTTTCCCGATTTTTATTTCCCCACCAAACCTTTGTATCTAATTGATTATATTTATTTTGTAAAAAAACGATACCATGATACTTTTTTGTTATATTATTTCTTATTACAGATTATAAGTATTATAACGTGTCGCACAATACAACTAGCACCTCGCATCTTTACAAAATATGGTAAACGAAATGCAAATTAATTTGGTCGAGTTGCAGTCGCACAGTGTGTTATTTTACTTTAGTTGCGGACATCCTCGTTTTATGTTCGGTTTCAATAGCTTGAATCCTAATAAATTATATACTAAGAAATACCCGTTTAGATATTTACTTTTATTATGGAGATATAATGTTTTTTTGAAAGGTCACTGAACTTCAAGACAAATGTTTTTGGTTGTATTTTCAAAGTCAAATTCAAAGATCATTTATTACAGTAAAATAAATTTACACTTGAAAACGTCCCATTTACATTACATTAAGCTACTGCTCGTTGACTACGCTGATCTCCCTGAGAAGAACGAGCAAGAAACTCTAGGGATTGCTCTTTTCAAATAAACTTAAATGCTATGGAATACACTTTGTATCAAATTTGTGTGGATTCTGGAGCCGTGTCGTCTTTCCATACATCTTTATCTAACACGTAGTCTTCAATTTTGTAATATGACTTTTCAACCAAAATATTTTTAATGTAGTTTTTAAACTTAGGAAATGATAATCTTAATATATGCCCCGGAATCTTATTATAAAAACGTATACAGTTCCCCTTAGAAGAGTCATTTACCTTGGTTAACGAAATCGTGGTGTCATGAGTTTGAACTTAGCTCTAAGGTTAATATTAAGGATATCTTCTTTCTTATTGAAATTATGTATATTTTTACGGGCATATAAAATATTTGAGTAAATATACTGTGATGCCACAGTCATGATACCAGTGTCCTTAAACTTTTCTCTGAGAGAAACCCGAGAGCCTAGACGGTACACAGAACGAATCGCTCGTTTTTACAATACAAATATGGTTTGAATATCTGCCGCTTTACCCCAAATGAGAATCCCATAGGACATTATAGTATGGAAGTAACTAAAGTAAACTAGTGTAGCAGTACTAACATCGGTAAGCTCACGTATTCTGCGGACTGCGTATGCAGCGGACTATTTTATTTTACTATCTAAACTATTTACTATCTAAGGTCACTCCCAAGAAGACTGCTTTTATTAACAAGTTCTAACTTTTCTCCGTTTATTTCTATGCTTGGACTAGTCGATTTTACGTTAGGTAATTCAACATTTTGTCTTCTTGAATTAAGCAATAAATTGTTAGCATTAAACAAATATATATATAATATAATTTAGAGGGGGTATCATGGTCATAGTTATTGTCATGTCTGTCTGTTTTAAAAATCAAGGATGTATCGTCTGCAAGCAATACTATTTCGCAATGGTCCTTAACAAAGAATGGCAGATCATTAATATAAATCAGATATAAGAAAGGTCCAAGTATTGAGCCCTGCGGAACACCCATTTTTACCGGAGAACCCAGATGTCACTCCATTTATGTCTACTTTCTGTTTCTACCGTTGAGATATAACGAGACAAGTTCCGATGCCTTTGTATTTACACCGTAATATTCCAGCTTCCTAATAAGAGTAATATGGTCAACGCAATCGAATGCCTTTGATACCACATAAAACACCAATAGCCTTCTGGGACCTTTCCCAAGCATCAAAGATGCGAATGAAGCTTCATATTGGATACTTGTCTTTTAATTTTGTTACATCTTACTTATTTGACAGTAATTGTTTCGGACGGATGTCGGACAGAGATCGAGAGTAGACCCCCTGGTACCGAGTTGTAGGTGCAATATGTATCCAATTTTCCGACCTTTGATCAAGGGTGACATACGGGTCGCACCAGAAATAGGCAAGCACACTGGTTTCACGCCCAAATTGAGAGGGTAAAAATATGTACTATTAAATACTTGCTAAGTTTTGTTCAAATTAACGATATTGTTATAAAATGCTCTTATTTACTTAATTTCCTTATTTATATTCATTTAAAAACACCACAAATCACGGGTATTTGGACATTGTACTGTACTGTTTTAAATCAGATCAGATCTACAAGTTTTTGGAATGTCAATATCCGAAAAATCCTCTGTAACATATTGTGCCACTTTAGAATCGGAGAGTAGGGTCACTTCCGCTGTATCACTAGTCCTCTCGAAGTAAATAAAATTAAAAAGTGAGTAAAGTGAGATATGAATATATAATATTGCGCTTTGCAGACAGAATAAATATTCAGTGACAATCCTAACACAAAATTTAAAAATTCAATATTTCTGAACTCTTCTGTTTGTCGCATCGGGTTTTTTTTGTGGTAGTACTTATTACTGTAATTAACATATCGGCATTGAAAAAAATGCTAATATGTAGAAATTCTTCAGAAAAAAATTAAAGCTTGATATTTTTTATTTCTTGGATTTATTGATGCTTTTAGTAGTTTTCTATCACAACATGAAATATTTAAAGAAAAATCATTTACAAGAAAGGAAATATTCTGATTTTATGGTTTTTATGGATTTTTCTCGATTTTCTAAGTTTCTCTAAAACTATGATAGATACAGCCTGGAGAGTTTTATTAAGAACTTTGTTTGAATATAATTTTTTTGAAAAACACATAAAACGTGGATGTCCGCAACTAAGATAAAATAAAACACTATGTAGTCGCTCGCTTCGCTCGTTCAGATCGATCGAAATTCGGCTCTGGCACTCGCCGGCCGCTCCCGCGATATGCTCGCATCGCTCGCTCGGCTCGTGCGACTTTTTCATGTACTAACCTAACCTAAACCCATAGGAGGGGGTCGCCCTAGCTTGGAAATGCAAACAAATTCGGTTCTGGTACTGTCCTCGATTCAGTTATAAGTTATTTTTCCAGTCCAGTCCAGAAATTTGGAGCTGTACGGTAAAATTGTATGGCGGTACGATTTTATCTAAGAATAATAATTTTGTCGAAACGAATTTTCAGCAATCTAAATTATATGGAAAACAGACAGTATAACAAACATGATTAGACCAAACAAACCTTGGCCCAAAGAATACGTATGTGTAATAATTATTCTATAGGTTTTCGGACAAACGACACTTCTGCT